GGGGGGGGGGGGGGGGGGGGGGGGGAGCTACCCGAAGGCTCTCACTGCTGGGTTTGAGTGTGAGGGGATGTGAGGCTACTACAGCAAAGTGGGAGGGAAAAGGGGAGAAGAGGTGATTTTACTGTTAGGGTATATTTCATAATGTGGGAGACATTTTTGGTTGTCACAACTTGGGGAGGGAGTAAGGTCACTGGCATCTAGTGGGATGCTGGCCAGGGATGCTACCATCCTCCATCCTACAATGCGCAGGACAGCCCTCATATCAAAGACCCATCCTGCCCAAAACGTCAATAGTGCTGCAGTTGAGAAACCCTGGGCAGACTCTGCGGTGATCTTGGCCTCAAGGAAGGGAGAACCTGGAGCTGCCTCAGGCCACTTAATGGAGCCTGAGAGTGGACTTCACGGTGGAAGGCACAGCCAAAAGATGGAGGGAAACTGAGTCCTGGGGACATCACCAGAGCCCTGAATCCAGCTGTGCCTGAAGCTAGATCTGCTCTTGGACTTTTCCATTTTGTGGCCCTTTTGGCTTAAGCCCGTTTGAGTGAACTTTTGTGTCACTTTCAAATCCTCACAGAAATGTGGCGAGACAGACCAGGCATACGTTCCTCTCCCTGTTTTGTAAATGGGCAACCCCAGGCCAGAAAGCCTGTGTGATTTGCCCAATATCACACAGCAAGCTGCGGCATACACAAAACTGGAGTTTGTTCAGGGGCTTCATTCATGACAAACCTTATTTTTATATTAAAACAAACACAGATACACGGAGAAAATTGCCAAGTGTACATTAACCTTTAAGATAAAGTACAAGACTTCAGAAATAGTTTGTTGTCGTAGTGACTGCGACAGACTGTAAACAAGAATCCAGACTATTAGGGGGAGTTAGAAGTAGAGTTGGGACTAGAGCCCAGGTCTTCGACATCCAGCCCAGTGGGGTTCTGCACCCCAATCTTTCTCACCTTTGTAGAATCCCTGGGAGATTACAAAGTTCTTTCACGGCCATCTTCTTATCCATACAACAATCCTACAATCTGGGCCTGGACTGTTATCTAAGAAACTAAGGCCCTGAAGATAAGTGACTTGTCCAAGCCATGATGCTCAAAATCAACTGAGCAAGAACTTGAATCCAGGTCTTTTTTTTTAAAGATGACCTGGGGCCGGCCCGGTGGCGCACTGCTATAGTGCGCCGCTTGGGAAGTGCGGCGGCGCTCCCGCCGAGGGTTCGGATCCCATGTGCAAACCGGTTCCCGCTCACTGGCTGAGCGAGGTGCGGACGCAACACCGAGGGTTGCGATCCCGTTGCCGGTGCAGGGGCGACACTGAGGGTTGCGATCCGTTGCCGGACACGGAAAAAGACAAAAAAAAAAAAAAAAAAAAAGATGACCGGTAAGGGTATCTCTACCCTTGACTTGGTGTTGTCAGCACCACACTCAGCCAGTGAGCGAACCGGCCATCCCTATATAGGATCCGAACCCGGGGCCTTGGTGTTATCAGCACCGCACTCTCCCGAGTGAGCCACGGGCCGGCCCAGAATCCAGGTCTTAAGAGTCGAAGGCTGCTTTCTCCTGTGCTGTTCTGGCTGAGGCAAGAAGTAGCGTCTGTGATGGCAGAGCAGGCTATCTCATCAGCGCCTGGCCTGCCTGGCACTGTGCTCTGCCCACAAATCAAGGAGAGTGAAAGTTTAAGGAAGAGCCAAAAAGGAAACCCTACTCATTTTCCCCATCCTTCCTCCACCAACAAGGGGCTTATTGCAGTGCTAAGAGGTGATGCGGAATGCTATAATAGGCTTCGGAATCAGACCAACCTAGGTTCAAATCCCCATTCTGCCACTTAGAAACTGTGCGATCTTGGGCAAGTCACTTGACTTCTCTGAACTTCAGCTTCCTCATCTGAAATAAGGGGCCTTCTTGCATGGTTTGCTGAGGCTTAGATTAGATAAGAAATGTGAGTGCATCCAACACATATGTGGTGCTTGGTGAGTGCCAGCGTGCCTTCCTTTGTTTGCCCACCTTTCTAAGAAGCTCCTACTCTGACCCCATTTGGTAGATGAAGTTATTGGAGAAGTGCAAGCTGCTACTGTCGTGGGAGCAGACAATAAAATGCATCTGGATCCATCCCAGTGAAGCCGTCCTCTGCCAGCATTCTCCCTGGCCCCTTCACTGGGGCTGTGAAATCCCAGTCGTGTGGGTCTGTCTTGCCCTTTTCCTATGAAAGCACGTTCCTCGGTGTTTCGCAGATCCTCATCAAATGTTGTGAAACAGACTGGGCACACGTTTCTCTCCCTTTTCACAGATGGGCAGCCCTGGGGCTGAGATTTACATGACTTGTCCAAGGTCACACAGCAAGCCATGGCGTGGCCTAGAACAGACCTTCTCAACTTGGGCACCACTGATACCTGGAGTGGGACAAGTCCCTATTGTCCTGTGCATTGTAGGATGTTTAGCAGCACCTCTGTTCTCTACCCACTAAATGACAATAGTACCCCAACCCCAGTCAAGAAAACCAGAAATGTCTCCAGACGTTGTCAAATGTCCCTTGGTGGGCTAAACCAGCCCCATGAAGAACCATTGTCCTAGAATGCTGTTTGTTCAACATGCCTGCTTAATCTTTTCTTCGAAAACACAACTCCAAGGACCAAAAACCAATATTTTCTTTCCGCTCCTAATACACAACATAATCTCTTGAAAGCAGACAGAACCAATACTTTCATATTCACCTTTGGCATCTTTTTCAAAGTATTTCCAGGGTCGTGGGTAGGAGAAAATGGAAAAAAATATTTGGACACAAGTCCTTTTTCCCACTGAGCTTTGAGAAAATCCCCATCTTGCATGCTCCTAGTGTGTCTCTTGCTGATAAGCCCACTCATAAAACCAGGGCCTTAGTTAGAGCCACACTTATAGACCTCCCACAGACACACCATGATCAGGACCCTGCTGCTGTCTGCACTGGTGGCTGGAGGTAAGCCCTGTCACCCAGAGGCACTGCTTTCCCATCTCCTGGTGGGGCTGGGAATGGGACCTTCTGCCTTCCCCTCCCCGACAGCACTCAGTTCTATAGTTAGTTGTAAGAAAGCTGGACTGGAGTTCCAAAGAAGTGGAGCAAAGGGCAGGACTCTATGACCTCTTGGGATCCTTCCAGAACAAGGATCTTCTATTTGGGGGTTGTAGATGCAGCTAGTGTAGTTTACATTGCTCGGATCACTGCTTCCTGGACCCATGACACTTTGTCTTTTCACAGCTCTCAGCTGCGGGCGCCCCACTCACCCGCCACAGCTGTCCAGGGTGGTTGGAGGTAACGATGTGAGTCCCAACAGCTGGCCCTGGCAGGTGAGTCACCTGCACTGCACCCCATTCACCTGACATCACTCCTTTGCCCTTCCACCATGGGATCTATTGTGCTGGTAAAGATGAGGATTGGTGGGGACTCAGAGGGCAGCATGGGCAACTTCACCAGCAAAATACAGTCTTGTGGCCTTGGCCAACCTTGGGGGTGGGAGAGAAGTGCCTTTTCCACCTTCGGTAAGGAGCTGCCCCACCCCACTACCCATACAACACACAAATTCACAAATATATTCTTACTCTGTTAACCAATCAGACGCTTGCTTACCTTCCATCACCACCTATGCAAATGTTCCTTGCTTTAAGGAACCAATCAGTGCTGTTTATGTAGATTAACACTTAACTACGGGCAAATCAATGTTACCAATAAATGTTTCCTTACCTTGACATAATCATAATGATATTAAGACTAAAATGCTGGGTGGGGCACGGGCACCAATTACTAGGCTGTGTTAGTGGTATGACTCTCAAAGGACATATGTGAAGTTTACATTAACATAAGTAAATATAGCAGAGGCTGGCTGGTTGGCTCAGCTGGTTAGAGCACGGTGTTATAACACCAGGGTCAAGCGTTACAACACTCGTGCAGCAATCTGAGTAATGAGCCCGTTCAGATTTTGTGACTCCCTCACCCCACTCTCTCCACTTTCTCACAGACACTTAATTCCATAGCAATGTTTTAAGTATCACAGTTATTCAATTTCTTCCAAGCTTTTAACTTAATTTGCATAAAGAAAACAACTCTCTTTTTGAATTCATCTTTCATTGATTACCTTTTATCAGACTACATAATTGCAAGCACAACAGACATAAACAGGTTTGGGAGCAAACCCAGCTGAATCGGGGTGAGTTTCCAACCTAGGCGGTAGGAACACCTAACGTAGCAGCCTGCTAGCCGTGAGTGTTCAGGGTGTCCCATGCAGCAGTCACTATGTTTACAGAGGGGATGGCAAGCCTCTGTTCATCTGCCTCTCAAGTAAGAGCATCAGTGAGAGAATGGTGCCTGATATTTCACAATTTACATACTTGGCTTTATGTACTGTTGCCTGTCCTACTTTTCTCACAGTCCCACTGTATTTTTTCTCTGGGAAGCTGGAAGAGGGGCCATAGTCCCCCTGTTATAGGACCCCATTGCATAGGGGACACTTGTGCTGAGAACCAATCAACACTGCTTATAAAAATACTTTCTCAGGGCCGGCCCGGTGGCGCACTGCTATAGTGCGCCGCTTGGGAAGCGTGGTGGCGCTCCCGCTGAGGGTTCGGATCCCACATACAGACCAGCCACTCACTGGCTGAGCGAGGTGCGGGGGCAACGCAGAGGGTTGTGATCCCGTTGCCGGTCCCGGTCCGGTACGGGCGCGACACTGAGGGTTGCGATCCATTGCCGGCCACGAAAAAAGACAAAAAGGAAAAAAAAAAATACTTTTTCATCCTTTTGTACAAATGTATCTTTGCTTTGGGAACCCATTGACACTGCTTGTACAGATGTACTGACACTGCTTATACAAATGTATCCCTGCCTTGGGAACCAATTAATGTTAGTCTTGGAAGAGTCTCTACACTTACTGCTTCTGTTTCCCTGGGAGTTTTTTATTTGGTTGGGTGGGCAGGACTAGCCAGGTGGGAAATCAAGGGAGGCAAGTAAGGTACTCACCTTGGGAGCAAAATTTAAGGGGTACCACAAAACTCAGGAACCAAAATGTATATTTTAATGCAACTTTTTGTTTTTTGGCTGGCCAGTACAGGGATCAAACCCTGGACCTTGGTGTTGTAAGCACCACATTCTAACCAACTGAGCTAACTGGCCAGCTGTAATGTTTTTTAAAAATCAAACAATGCAAAAATATCCATGATGAACGAAACATTGAAATTTTAAACAGAGTCAGGATTAATGGGACTTGGCATGACACTGCCTCGGAGGACTCTTCTAACCCACATCCACCCCAAGATTGTGGCCCTAGGTCACTACCCCTAAAACCAACTCACCACGCACTAGGCACTTTAGAACTAAAGTAGGATTTAAAGTTTTCCAGAAAGTGTATAAGTTTCCAAAAACAGGTTCTGGAGCCAGACAGCCAGAGCTTGAATCCCTGCTCCATCATGAGTAATTTGTACGACCTGGAGCAACTCAACTGGCCTTTTTCCATAGGTAATATTAAAAATATTTAACAGCCTTTCTGGCACAGACCACATTGTACAGATGTTTATGAGCTGCCTTGGTTTACTTAAGTGTAATATGGGAATGATAATCGTGCTTCATGGGGTTGCTGTGATTACACTGAGCTGGCTCACATTCTGAGCTCAGAACCGTGTCTGGTGCATGCTAAGTGCTCAAATTATTAAAGTGTTCGCTATTGTGGATTATTAACCATCCCAAGAGCCCTGCACAGTGGGTGTTGTGATCCCCATTTTCCAAATAGGGTAACTGGGACTCAGAAAGCTTACATAATGGCCCAAAGCCACCCAGTTAGCCTGGGGGAAAGCGAAGGTTCAAATCTGGTTTAGTCCTTGCTCTTTTGGCCACACTTTGCTGCCCACAAATAATATATATTATGCAGACAAAGTTTTCACATCTGTAGGACGGTTGCAGCATGTCTTTAGATTGGGGGCCAACCTTTATGAGTCTTTTTTCATTTTGTCTAATTGTAGGTATCTTTTTTAAAGCCAAAATTCATCTACCTTAATGCCAAGCAAACGAGAATGCCAAGAGACTGATTAGAAATGAGGATGTTCAGAGAAAAGGAGGCATCTGCTGACAAAGAGATAATCATTCCCCACAATTACGGGATCCACACTCTGCTGTCACCTCCCTCCTCTCTGCTTAGCCATGGCAGGGACTTAAAAGACAGGGGAGGAAGAGTAAAGAAAGAGGAAGTGCATGGAACCACTTTGTTAGAATCAAGAACAGTGCCAGATGCTACCACCTTAAAGTTCTACTCCCTCTCCCTCATTAAACTATCAAGCCTAATAGAAACAATTTTTTATCTAAAAAAAACCAGACCATGTTGAGCTGCAGGGGAGGTCCACACACACATACACTGATGCATCTCATCTCCTATGAGTAGATTTAGTCTTCAGAGAGAAATGAGAGCAACAGGTGACAAGATCCACTGGAGAGATCAGACCCTGGTCCTGGTGATGTGACTTTCATTCACTCATTCATTCATTCACTCACTCATTCATTCACATGTTCAATCAATAAGCATTTATTAAGGACCCACTATGTGTCAGGCACAGTTCTAGACACCTGGAACACAGCAGTGGGGAAAAAATTCACAGAGCTTATATTAAAGTGAGGGAGTGAGACAATAAACAATTGAACAGCTAACTTCATATCACATCAGGTGATGTTAGATACCATGATGAAGAGTAAAACAGGATAAGAGAAGAGAGAAAGATGTGTGTGCACGTGTGTGTACACATGCACACGTGTGGATTTGAATGTGCATGTATGTGTGTGTACACACTTTTGTGGTCATAGAAGGCCTCGTAGAGGAAGTAACCTGGAGCAGAAACCTGTAGGAAGTGAAGGAGAGAGCTATGCTGATACCTGGGGGAAGAATATTTCAGGCAGAAGCAATGGCAAGTGCAAAGGCCCTGAGGCAGAAGTGGGCTTAGTGTATTTGCAGAACTGCATGGAGCTCTATGTGGCTGGAGCAAAGGGGAATCCTAGGAGGCCATTGTACAGTGTTGGGTTTTACACTGTGTGAGGGGGGGAGTAATTGAAGGGTCTGAGCAGAGAAGAGACATAATCAGACTTACATTTTAAAAGGATCGTTTGGGCTGCTATATTGAGAAAGTGTGGGGTGAAGGGTGGGTTAAGGTGGGAGCAGAGAGAACACGAGACTACAGTATTAATCCAGGTGAGAGGTGGAGGTGGTTGGATGAACAGCTGAGGTGGTACGAAGGGGTGGCATTCTCTCCACATGTCCTGAAAGTCAAGCTGACGGGATCTGCTTGTGGATTTGAATGAGGAATATGAGAGAAAGAGAGGAGTCAAGTACGATGCCAAAGTTTTTGGCCTGAGCAGCAGGAAAGTGGGATTGCCATTCACTAAGATGGGGAAGCCTGAGGAAAAGCAGGTTTTGGAGGGAAATCAAGAGTTTGGTTTTAGACATATTGAATTTGAGGACTATGTCCTAAGGAAATACAAAGGTAACTCAAAAAGTTCATGGGGAAAAAAAATAACAGAATTAAAAGATAATACAAATCTTTCTATGAACTTTTTGAAGACCCAAGAAAGAGTAAATTCCAACAAATCAAGTTGCAGAAAGACATTCAAAGTTATTTTTTTAATAGTCTATTTAAGTTTTTGATATTTTTGTTTATCATGATTTTTTGTGTTAATTCTGATTTTTTTTATAAATTGCATTAAAATGGTTTTTATCTTGATTACTGAGTTTTTTTGGCACCTCCTTAAGTTTTGCACCAAAGGTGAGTGCCTCGCTCACCCTCCCCTCGTCCCAGCCCTGCTCTCTGATGCTGAAGAACAGAGAGGCCCGCTCTTTCAACAGCATGGGTGCCTGTGCTTTATTCCCAGGCCTCCCTGCAGTACAGTTCCAATGGCCAGTGGCGCCACACCTGCGGAGGGTCCCTGGTGGCCAAAAACTGGGTCCTGACAGCTGCCCACTGCATCAGGTAACTGCCTTTCCCTGGTCACCCAACCTGCTTACCCTACCGGCCAACGCTCCTCTCCACGAGTTGGAGCCCAAACGGCCTGCACCCTGCTATGTAAAGGAGCCTTGCAAATAATCACTTGCCTGGCCGAGACACATGCCTTAGCTGACCTATGGTTCAGTCTGTTGCTCAGTTGAGTGCCCTGTGCCAGGCACTGAGGGAGGATAGAGAGGAGGGGAAGGCCCAGTTCCTGCCCTCTTGTGGGTCATAGCTGTGGCCTCTGGATCTGGAATTGGGTTCCTCTGAGTAACTTAAATGACTTCTCCAGGCTTCAAAACATCACCTGCAAAAGAGGGGATAACAGAATTTAATGTGGATTAAATGAGATGGTATGTCAAAGGGCCGAGCACTTAGAAAGGGCTCAGTGAAATGTATCTGAATCATAAAGGCCCACAAGAGAAAGAAAAGACTGCAGTGCTGCTCCCTCACCCTCTTCCTTCCCTCTGGCCTCTGCTTGCCTCACACTAGCTGGCATCAGCAGCATTTCGATTGGGTCAGTGTGACATATGCCAGGGCTGGTCCCTTCTCCACCTAACTTATAAGCTCTACGAGGTAGTGGGGAAAATAATAGAGGCTTGGGGGTCAGAAATCCTGGCTTCTAATTCTGGTTTCTCACTGGCCGTGGGACTCTGCACTACTTATCCCTCTCTGGGACTCAGTTTCCCCATCTGCATATGAGAGGTGGGGGATGAAACTAGAAAATGCCCTTGAGGGCACATGACTCCCGTTTTCTCTGTATCCCTCTCATTCCTTCCATAATAATATAAAGTTTATGTTATTATAATTTTTATTTTGTATTATAGTTCATAATATAGTACAGTGATAATTATTATATAGTTATAGCTATTATGTTATAGAGTTTGTTATATTATAACTAACCGATTGCCCCTGAAGGAATAAAATTCCCAAGCCCCAGTAGTGTCCCGCACAGCAGTCGCTTTCTTGGGCCCTTCCCCAGTGTTATCCAAAGCCAGGCCTCTGAGACAAAGCAATAGGGTGGCCCTGCCGGTGGAGGGCCAGAGAGAAGAAATGGCAGCTGGGAGCTGACCCTCTCTACTCGGCCCCTTCTTCCCAGCTCCTCCAGGACGTACCGCGTGGTGCTGGGCCGCCACAACCTCTCCGCTGAGGAATCCGGCTCGCTGGCCGTCAAGGTCTCCAAGCTCGTGGTGCACAAGCACTGGAACTCCTCCCAGCTCTCCAAAGGGTACCTTCTGTCTGGGTGTACTTGGGGGCAGAGTTGGCAGGGAAATAGACAGGGGGGTGTCACAGAGGCAGTGGGCTCAACCTCGCCCCCTCCTTTGCTCCTTCTGTAGGGAGAGAGATGGAGCCCTGACCTCTTAGAGGTAGAGCCAGCCCCAAAGATGCCTGGGGTAGGGGTACAACCTAGGGGAGGGAGAGCAAAGACTGTCAGAGCAACCTGAGTCTCCTGCCAGTTAAGCCTGCAGGGCCCCCATCCATCCCAGCTCTCACCGATCTACTCCCTGCCAAGCCCTGGGGACACGGGGTGGTGCTGCAGACCCTACAACAGTCAGTAGAATAGGACAAGGCCTCTCCTTCCTTCCCACCTCCCAACAAGGCCTTTTACATTTTCAAAGATGCTCTGATGCCCTGCTTGCTGGGACAGCATGGGGGAAATGGACACAGAAAGATAACAAAGGTCTCAGAGCTCTCCAAAGCCCCACAGGGCGGGAAACGTCAACACTCTCTTTACGGTCTGCCTCTTTACTGATTCAGGAATGACATCGCCCTGCTCAAACTGGCTGTCTCTGTCTCCCTGACCGACAAGATCCAGCTGGCCTGCCTCCCGCCTGCCGACACCGTTCTAGCCAACAACTACCCCTGCTACGTCACAGGCTGGGGAAGGCTGCAGAGTAAGTGGGAGCTGGGAGCCCCAGGGCTGGGAGGGAAGGGAGGCGATGTCACCCTGTCTGGCCAGGGCCTCTGACCCCACACATCATCCCAAGGTATGTAGCTGCCTTGGAGAGGCAGGATAGCATTCACTGATAAGTCTGCCTGGGTTCAAATCCCAGCTCTCCCACTTAACAGCTGTGTGACCTTGGACACATTACTTAGCCTCCCCAGACCACAGTTTCCTCATCTGTGAAATGGGGAAATAACAGCACCTACATCACAGGGTTGTCGAGAGGATTGAAGGAGATAATCCATGGAAGTACTTAGACCGGTGTGTTAGTTGTCACTGTCGCTATGGCAGAATGAGAGTTATAGAGACCACATGACATCTTCTTTATGGCCGAAGGCCAGAGTTCAGAGCAGCACTAACTCTGCGACCTCAGGTTTCTGGAGCTCCCCAAAGCTTCCTGGAGCTCTCATCAGACCCTCTGCTCCCCATATCAAAGCCTGCCCCATGTTCCACTTGGTTTTGCTACTCAGAACCTGGCTGAGTGTGAGTCTCCTGTTAACATAAACCCCAAGGGTCAGAAATCCAATGACAGCTGGCCACCAAGAGGAACAGAGCACCTACCCTCCCCTTATAAAACCACCAGAGGTCTGGAAGGTTCTAGGGAGGTTCGTGAAGATGAGTGGTTGTATTTTCCATAATGACATAAACCTATAAGTGACATTTTTCAAGAAGTATATCAACACACATACACTCAGATAAATTACTATTGCCCTCTCGACCTGCTTATCTGCAAAAACAAAAACACATGAAAACCCAGCAGAAATGAGGAGTGGTGGAGGAGGCATCTCATGATTATCAAGATGCAGGTACAACTTCTTGTCTGTTTATCCAGCAAATGCTGGGACAGAATGTACGTCATCTGAGATGGCCAGAGCCAGGGAAGGGTCCACACGCTTGGCTTTCCATCCCAGCTCTGTCGCTCACTATGTGACCTGGGGCAAGCCACTTTGGAACCTCAGTTTCCTCATCTATAAAATGGAAATACTGTTGGTAAAAGAGATGATATATGTCAAAATGCTTTCTATATTGCAAAATGATATCCAAGAGTTAATTACATATTACAGTGGTCTTGAGCAAGCTGCTTAAATTCTCTTGGCTTCAATGTTCCATCTGTCAGACAGGAATAAATATTTACTGTGAGGATTGGCATTTTGTTGTGGTGGTGGTAGTGGTTTTTTTGGTGGCTGGCTGGTATAGGGATAGCGAACCCTTTGACCTTGGTGTTATAACATTGTGGTCTAACCAACTGAGCTAATCAGCCAGCCCAGGATTAGCATCTTTTGAAAAGCCTAATATAGAACAAGTGAAGAATTATAATAATACTAACCCTTGCCATTAGCAGGAGTGGTACTAGTAACAGAGGAGATGATGGAAGTGTCATTGCGGAGCCTTAGGAAAGCTCTGTCTTCACCACTCCAGAATATTTTTCCCAACTAGGGGGCTCCAAATGCCAGCAGACTTACAATCACATTTAAGACAAGTGACAGAAACCCACGGAGCTAGCTCAGCAAAAAGGTAAATCTGCTATAAGTGTTTAAGAGTCTCAACCCAAGAGCAGAGACACAGTTAGGCTTCAGGAACAGTCTAGAATCAGGGGCCAGAAGCCAGTAAGAGACTCAGGAAACTCTCAGGTTTTCCTTTCCTGGCTGGTCTCCTTCACCCTTCTCTACAAAGAAGAAAATGGCTGCTGCTGCCAACAGTTCCCAGGTTTACATCCTCTCTGGCTGGGATCTCGTAGTCCTCATCCAAATTCCCAGGGGAAGGAGCTCATTGGCTTAGCCTGAGTCACATGTTCGCCCCTGAACTAATCACCAGTGGACAGAACACTAACCAATCAACTGTGAGGACACAGTGTCGACAAACATGGCTGCTCCCATTGCAACCGTAAGGATGGAAGAAAGTATTAGGGGCCAGAAAGAAAGGGGCTTGGAAGGAAAACCCAGTAGGTGGCCATGACTTCCTTTTTTCTCAGGAGTGCCTTTATTCCTGAAATGCCTTTCCTCTGGTCTCTTTAAGCCAACGGGATTCTCCCTGACATCCTGCAGCAGGGCCGGTTGCTGGTAGTGAGCCATACCAAGTGCTCCAGCTCCGACTGGTGGGGCAGCTCTGTAAAGACCAATATGGTCTGTGCTGGGGGTGATGGCGTGATCTCCAGCTGCAACGTGAGTACAGAAAATCAGGTGCCACCCCCCAGCACATACACAATGAACTATAGCTGGGGAAGGAGAGAAACTCTAGAGGTCCTGGGGTATATCCTCCCACCTCCTGGCAGAAGCACCTGGAAACAGCCCTGGATATATCAGAACCTGACCTCTGTCCTTGTAGTCTCCAGAAAAGATGTTTCAAGAGTCTCCTTGTAGTGTCCACCCCCAATCGCTGTCACATCCTTTCTCGGGTCTCATTGAGGTCTCTCATTACCGCCATCCGTCATATTCTTTATGCAGGAAGGGAGCCGAGGGGAAGCATTCTGTAGCTTAGGACCTTTCTAAGGGGAGGTCTAGCTTATGTATTGAATTAATCCCATTACTAGCCCAATGTGTCCCTTCAAAGTTCCTGGAGACGGGGTCTGAACCCAAAGGAATTTGTATATGGTAGACTCTGCAGCAGAGTGGGGACAGTGGGGACAGAGTGGGAAGGAGCTTGCCACACACCTGTCAATCACACTGCTGTGCCCTGACACTCTGCCCACAGAGACCTCCCGGGAAACTCCCTGGTCAGGGGAGGAAATCGCCAGTGGTGGTGACGAGCACAGCAGTTTAACTCTGGGATGCGGTCTCAGTTCCTCCACTAACTGCCTGTTACAACCTCGGGTCATGGCAACCTCTGAATACCTGGTCCTCCTGTTCAGTGAACAGGGGACACTAACGATACTACCTCCTAGGTTTCTGTGAGGATTAAATGGGATAAGGCATATACAGGGTTCAGCTCACTTCTGGGTAGAAAGAATAAAGGTTAGCTTTTGTTGGTATTACCTGTTCAGTGAACAGGGGACACTAACGATACTACCTCCTAGGTTTCTGTGAGGATTAAATGAGATAAGGCATATAAAGGTTTCAGCTCACTTCTGGGTAGAAAGAATAAATGTTAGCTTTTGTTGGTATTTTTTTGTTGGTATTATGGTACCATGTGAGCTGTGACCACAAGGGTAGGCCTCAGAGGACAGAGCGACCCGTGGCAGAACAATATAAATGCAAACAAAAAACAAAACAATGAAAGAATAAGAACAATATCAATGCATGGAGAACAAGAGCTCTAACAGGCAGCCCCTCCCTCTGCCCTCACTGTCCCCCCAAACCCCCTGGTCCCTCCTGACAGAACCCTGGCCTTCCCCAGGGGGACTCTGGCGGGCCACTGAACTGCCAGGCGGCTAACGGCCAGTGGCAAGTGCACGGTATAGTCAGCTTCGGGTCCTCGCTCGGCTGTAACTACTACCGCAAGCCCTCCGTCTTCACACGGGTCTCCAACTACATCAGCTGGATCCATTCGGTAAGAACCAGACAAGCCCTGAGCCCCATGGGCCCTGCCTTGGGGGCCCACCCAACCCCACAAGGACAGTGCCCACCTGGGGTCTGAGAACCCTCTCCTTCCTCATGAGAGCTAGGCAGGAGGCCCCTGGAGGAGGCTGCAGATTTGGGCAGGGCCCTCCACGGGCCTCCGAAATCTCTGTGTGGGTCAAGTTGAGTGGAAATGAACACAGAGGGTGGCCTTGTCCAAAGAGGCTGAAAACCAAGGCTACTCCTCAGGCATCAAGAGCGGGTTCCTTAGGATTAGTGGGTATTTTATTTTTGCATATTCGTGTGTAGGCCCTGACCCCATCATCTCATGTGATAAAGTCCTATTTATCTGCAAAGCCCAAAATCTGGTAGTTTGAGACTCCCACGGCCTTAATTATTGGAAATGAGTACCCCTGAAAGGTCCCCCAGCTATTCTGGTGGGCAACCAACCATCCTGGTTTGCCTGGGACTGCGAGGTTTTCTAGGATGCATGACTTTCTATTTTGCACTAGGACAGTCCCAAGCAAATAGGGCTGAGGTGGTCCTGTTTTTGTGAATATGTCCCCAGAGAGCTTTCTCTTATGAGCTTCCACACAAGCTAAATTTCCTTTTTTTTGTTTGGACAATCAACACACACTTGTTTATAATAACCATAAAACTTATTTATTAAAAAAATAAGAACGGGCACCAATCTTGGGAGCAGCCATGGATACAAGTAGCAGTAGGTGGAAGCAGCCAGAACAAGAAGAGTTGTCACAAGGAAGTGGTGCCTGGGGGAGGGTGGAGAAGACACTGCCTGGAGATGGGTGCTGGGAGGGGAGAGGATGGTCTATGCCAACTGGGGTGCTATTTGAACCTCCCCCCCTCCATGTTGCTCTTCTGTCAAATGGAACTTGAACTAGACCAAGACTCCCCAAAATTTTTAGGAGCCAAAGCAAGTGGGAGTTGTGGTGTTTGTGGCAGGGCACCCAAAGAAGGGAGAGCTGGCATCAGATTTCATTATTTTAAGTTTAATTAGCAGAGAACTGTTAAATTAAACTGACACTGCATTATAAAACCAAATATGAAATTGCAGCCATGAGCATGTGGTCACAGGAGGAAAACTATACTGTCAAAATAAGCAGGTGGCTGCTTGCAAGTTTTCCCATTAAGACTTGCCAGCTCCTTGTTCATTTGTCTGTCTGCTGGCATTTCTACCAACCATCCTGGTTTGCCTGGGACTGCGAGGTTTTCTAGGATGCATGACTTTCTATTTTGCACTAGGACAGTCCCAAGCAAATAGGGCTGAGGTGGTCCTGTTTTTGTGAATATGTCCCCAGAGAGCTTTCTCTTATGAGCTTCCACACAAGCTAAATTTCCTTTTTTTTGTTTGGACAATCAACACACACTTGTTTATAATAACCATAAAACTTATTTATTAAAAAATAACGGGCACCAATCTTGGGAGCAGCCATGGATACAAGTAGCAGTAGGTGGAAGCAGCCAGAACAAGAAGAGTTGTCACAAGGAAGTGGTGCCTGGGGGAGGGTGGAGAAGACACTGCCTAGAGATGGGTGCTGGGAGGGGAGAGGATGGTCTATGCCAACTGGGGGGCGCTATTTGAACCTCCCCCCCTCCATGTTGCTCTTCTCTCAAATGGAACTTGAACTAGACCAAGACTCCCCAAAATTTTTAGGAGCCAAAGCAAGTGGGAGTTGTGGTGTTTGTGGCAGGGCACCCAAAGAAGGGAGAGCTGGCATCAGATTTCATTATTTTAAGTTTAATTAGCAGAGAACTGTTAAATTAAACTGACACTGCATTATAAAACCAAATATGAAATTGCAGCCATGAGCATGTGGTCACAGGAGGAAAACTATACTGTCAAAATAAGCAGGTGGCTGCTTGCAAGTTTTCCCATTAAGACTTGCCAGCTCCTTGTTCATTTGTCTGTCTGCTGGCATTTCTTTGCCAACAAGTGGTCACAGGCGTCAGAGATTCCAAAAGTTTGTTGGAGAAAAATAAAAAATCAAGAAGAGAGTGGCCATTAATTTGAAGGGTGTTTTTGGTAAATTGGGGGAAAGCCATGATTCGATTTTGGCAGAGAGAAATCTGAGTCCAACTTTTGAGGTACCACCAGCATTTCAAAGGAGCCTGGCCGAAGACTGATTGAACGGAAGGATGCTAGGGCCGGCCCGTGGCTCACTTGGGAGAGTGTGGTGCTGCTAACACCAAGGCCAAGGGTTCAGATCCCTATATAGGGATGGCCGGTTAGCTCACTTAGGAGAGCGTGGTGCTGACAACACCAAGTCAAGGGTTAAGATCCCTTTACCGGTCATCTTCTTTTTTTTCTTTTGTCTTTTTTCCTGTCCGGCAACGGATCGCAACCCTCAGTGTCGCGCCCGCACCGGACTGGGACCGGCAACGGGACCGCAACCCTCGGTGTTGCTCCCGCACCTCGCTCAGCCAGTGAGCGGGAACCGGTCTGTATGTGGGATCCGAACCCTCAGCGGAGCGCCACCGCGCTCCCAAGCGGCGCACTATAGCAGTGCGCCACCGGGCCAGGCCGGCCCTACCGGTCATCTTTTTTTAAAAAAAAAAAAAGAATGGAAAGATGCTTAGGGGCCTTTTCCCAGCCAGATCTAGGATCCTTTTCCAGCCCCAGCTGCTGCATGAGTCACCCTGTAGCTGGTCCTGGTAGCACCTTGTGGGCCCAAAGCAGGGGCTGGGGGCAATTGTCCTGATTTGTTGTCCTAGCATCAGCTGTTCCCAGCCACAGACACAAGCACAACAGAGTAGGCCAGAGCCAAGAGCATAGCCAGATGGCAGAGGGGATGCCTGGGGAACACAGGCCTTGTGAGGCAGCTGGGCAGAGGCCCTGCACTGACAGGAGAGCATCCAGGGCAGGCACTGATGCCCAGGAACGGGCCCCAGGAATGGGGCCTCCAGGCAGCCAGCTGTCCTCTGGTGGAGGCTGCCCCCAACAGCTGCAGAGGGGCTAGTGAAACTGTGCAGTGGTCCCAGCCCTGAGGTGCACCATGTGCAGCAGCTTGGAGTCACGCATAGTCGCAGCCCTGGGGGCGCTTGGGAGTGCCTGCCTGGATAAACCCAGACAGGTGACAAGCAAGGTCAGGAAGCTGACAGTGAGAGGTACAGGAACAGGAAGAGACAGGTGGCCAAAGGCATTCAGACTTTCAACAAATGTTCATTGAATGACAGCAACACGTGAACCTTCAGCAGTCACTAGTCCAGGAGGCAATACATACTCTTTGTAAAAATATTAAAACAATAGAGGAGTGTATCAAGTAAAAAAGTAGAAGTCTCCCTGCCCCTTGTTTTACATCTCCAATTCCACCTTCCAGAGATAATCATTGTTAACAGCTTGGTGTGTGGTCTTCCGGACTTTTTGTGCATATTTAAAATATCTCTATATATACATATATATGGAGATATACTGTCTTCTAACCAAAAATAGGATATTACTCTTCATACTGTTCTGCAACTTATTTTTTCACTTAACACCCTATCACATTTTACATGTCACTGCATACAGCCATGTCAGTCTTTGAACAGCTGAACAGTTTCCACAGTGTGAATATAATAAGTGAAGCTTTCACCCGTCTCCTGTCTTTCACTCTCATGTTGCTGCAATGAACTCCCTTGGACATACATTCCTGCACACTGGTCTGAGTATTTACGCTATAGAGATCAGGAGGCTTCACCGGATCACGGAGTTGGCATGTTAAAATGTTTACTAGATAATGCTAAACAGCCTTTGAAAGCAGGTAACAGCCCCATCCACAATGCATAACACAGCCTTGCGAACAGCCTTGTGATTTGAGAAAAAAATGAAATCTACAAACATGCCCATCCACACATTGAGCATATACTTTTTAAGGGTTCACAGGCCCCCAAACCCAGAAGCCCAAACAGGACTCTAGGCCAAGACCCCTCTTTATAGGAAAACCCAGACCCATCAGGTCAGTAAAAGCGGTGATGACATCTTTTTCTCCCAAACATCGTAAGAACTCCTCAGGCAGGAGGTACCGCAGCACGGGCCATCTGTGATTTATGAGCAGCGGGGAGCCCAAGGACAAAGACGGGAAGCTGCCAGCATGGCTCTGCTGTTAGGTAAACTTCATTATTTTCTTGTGCGTGTCCTACAGGTGATTGAAAATTACTAACCAAAAGAAGTCTCCAGAGCTGTTTCAGGCTTGGAAAGGTCACAGAAGCAAAAAATAATAAAGTGACAGCCATATGAATCACATCTTGGTGAAAGTCTCATTAGCAAACCTCCCTAACGTCCAGGGCCCTAAACACAAAAAACGGCCCAGAGTCAGGACAGCCTAAAAGACATCAGGGACGGGGCCTTCTCTGGGAAAGCCCAACATTTCACTGTTGCACAGCATGGTCACACTGCAGTCCAGGGGTCCTTCTGCAAGTAAGGCACATGGGAGGCAGGGGCTGGGACCTGGAAGACTTGGTGCCAGCCAGGTCCCTCCATGGGATAACTGTGTTCCTTTGGACAGAGACTTAACCTCCTTGACCACACGGTTCTCACCCTAGTGCCTTCCTGGGATAGAGTAGGGATCACATGAAATAAGACAAGGGGAAATGTTTTGAAAAAAGCAAGTCTCCTTTAAAAGAAAGAACAAGAGTTGGAGCAAAATGAGGGGAAAAATAGGCCATCACCTAAGATTTATTTTTTTTTTTAAGAATAATGCAATACAAGAAAAATCAGCAATTTTTAAAACTTCATTTAAAATTCACAGATTCCAGCTCTTCAGACTCTAGTAGCCCCAAGCTTGCTGATCTAAGACAGATGCTGGTTTGTTTGTAGCCAAAACCCCCTAAAGATCAGTAGTTCTCAAGTGGGGGCAATTTTGTCCCCCAGGGCATATTTGGCAATGTTGACATTTTTGGTTGGCACTGCTTGTGGAGAGGTGCTACTGGCATCTAGTGGGTAGAGGCCAGGGATGCTGCTAAACATCCTACAACACACAGGACAGCCCTGAAACAAAGGACTGTCAACAGTGTGGAGGTTAAGCCCTGCTCTAGAGAGGACACGGGGTGACAGTCCACAGTCCTAACCTGCGACCAGCCACTGGGGAAGAGGCCACATGGAATCCATGGCATTCTTCGTACCTCTTCCTCCACTGCTCAGCATTTGTCTCCTATATGGAAGCTGCTAAGAGCCTGTCTGCTACCTGCTGGGAAACAGCAGACCCTGTACAGGCTACAAAATCAATGAGTTGTAGAAGAGACCAGCCTCAGCCACCTCCAGACATGGAGCACGAAGGTTCTCTGGTGAAAGAGAAGGCAGGTGAGGGGCCCTGCCTCAATCAGTTTTAAAGAAAAATTTTTTCCGAAGGAAATTAAAACAACCAGGCATCTGTTTGCAAATCCCTTTGTCCGCAACAGTTTTACCGACCTGTGAAAACACAACCACAGGGAGGTCTGTGAGTTCAGTTCTCTTAATTGAAGTAAGAATTCAAAAGAGAGGCTGGGGGAATGGCCACTAAATCAGCACTTTCAAAAGAACTCGGATTGCAGCCTCCTTGAGTGGGAGCTTTAAAGAACAGGTACCTCAATTACAAGTTTAAAAAACTCAAAATTCAAAGTTTCAAAATTCAAAAAATCGCAAAATTCAAATCAGACTGAAATGTGTACATGAAGAAAAGCCAAGAAAAGAGATCAGAACCAGGAGCTGGATGTGCTACTTAACCTTGACTGTCCCATGCCCCAGCCTGCACGTTCACCGGGGCCTTGGTGCCTGGCATCCCTGGAGTTGTGCTAGGTGGCCACCTGTGCTGGCGTGTCTCTCTCCTCTGTTCTTGCTCAGTGATGCATGGGGCTCAGGAGCAAGGAGTGGTCCCAGCCCTTAGAGCCCCTTCAAATGGCACAGAATACCTGAGCAGAGGAGAGACCCACGTGGGCCATTTCCCAAAGGCAGCAATGAGGCTCTAGATCCTTGGAGGATGCACCTGCTCTGAGTGGGGTTTTCATATAGTTGGGCTACGCCCTATCAGGCCACCCTTCCCTGTCTGTTCTCTCACTGGGGCCTCCCAAGAAGGGGGTGTACTAATGAGGGATTTATGATTCTTGAGGGCCAGGAATAGAAGACCACACAATGAGGCCAATGGTGCAGGGAGGGACCCCCCATGACCTGCCTGGGGGGCAGGGGATGGGGGGAAATGCACTGACCATTGTGAAACCCACCCATGCACTGACCACGGGCTCCATCAGTGGGGGAATGGGAGGAGTTGGCCTAGAGACCTTAGAGGAGACAGGGAGAGGCAACCTTTGAAAGAGAACCAATGTCACCACAGGCAGTAATGTCTCATAAGGAGACACAAAAGCTCCGACTCTCGCGGCAAGCCCAGACTCAGAAGCAGACAGGGCTTTAGCCCTGCTCGCCCCCTACCCTGCCTGGAGGAGGACACGCTGCCCATCCAGCAGCCTCCCCTCTCCTCCGAGGAGAAAGGCAGCGCTCACCCTGAGCAGGAGGGACTGCAGGTCTTCGTGGCGAGCCCACTTCTCCAAGACGCTATCCAGGACCTCGATGTACCAGGAGCCACTCTTGGGATCTCTCAAGGAGACAAAACCTTTGGACAGAGAAAGGCTGAACTTTGCGGGAGAGCCACCCCCTCCCCACGCATGCAGGCTCAGGCGACCTCCAGACTTTGGCCCATCTACACACCTAGCCCGAGCAGCCCACATCCCTGCGGCTCTGTCCTACTCGCACTCTTATGTCATCCTCGTGTCCACCTTCTGGCTTTGGCTGTGATTCCTGTTTCCCCAACAAGGAAACCAAAGCTTGGAGAAGTCAAGTGACTCACCCAATGGATAAAAAAGGAAGGAAGCTACCACCCATTGCACCTGCTAAGTGCCAGGCACTGTGCTCAGTCATGTGCCAGCCACCTTGTTTAACCCCCACAACAACCCCTGAGGTACAGCTACTAGTCCCAGTTTAAAGATGAGAAGGCTGGGCCGGCCCGTGGCTCACTCGGGAGAGTGCGGTGCTGATAACATCAAGGCCCCGGGTTCGGATCCCACATAGGGATGTCCGGTTCGCTCACTGGGTGAGCGTGGTGCTGACAACACCAAGTCAAGGGTTAAGATCCCCTTACCGGTCATCTTTTAAAAAAAAAAAAAAAAGATGAGAAGGCTGAGGCAGGGCAAGGGTGAGGCAAGTGAGGCACACAAACCCAAGGGCGTGTGCCTGTTAAACTGTGCATCCTCGCCCACCTCGCCCGCCTCGCTGGGAGCTCAGGCTCAGAGAGATGAAGTGACTTGCTCAAGATCACACAGGTCGCAAGAGGCAGAACAAGGACTCACATCCTGGTATTTTCTTTCACAACATGGTTGCCCCAAGGGCAGACAGAAGACCCACTGGCTAGCAGGAAAAGCTCTCCTGATGTGCTCACCTGGGAAGGTGGAGTAGGACACAAAGATGTCACTGGGTGTGGGCAAACTAGACACGGCGTCCGGCTGGTCGCGGGTCCCTGAGCCTTCCTGGAACGGGGCAGCGTCTTGCTCAGGGTTACTGCCAGAGGCCCTGTCTTTGGGGGAAGTGGAGGCCACCTCAAACCCACGGTCTTTCACTTCTGCAAAAGGCAGAAACAAACACCACTTGTCACTGCAACACACAGACCAGGGCTCCTGCCTCGCTTCATGAACCCATCCAGCTTGTTCCCAGCCTGAGACCACCTGATTCCCTCTAGAGCCAGGGTTCCAGCGCTGGACAAACACAAGCAGGAAGGAAACAGAAGCTTTACTTTTTTCTATCACAAAAATATTACACATTCATGAAGTAACATTTAAGGGAAGAAAGAAAAATGCAGAAATTTTAAAAACAGATATAAAAATAAGTTACAAGGTATTTACCCAAAAGAATTGAAAAGAGGCATTCAGGGCTGGTCGGTTAGCTCAGTTGGTTAGAGCATAGACTTATAACACCAAGGTCATGTGTTTGGATCCCCATACCGGTCAGCCACCAAAAATGAATAAATAAATAAAACAGGTGTTCAAACAAAAGCTTGTACACCAATGTTCATAGCAGCACTATTTGCAATAGCCAAAAGGTGGAAACAATCCAATGTCCAACAGATGAATGGAGAAGCAAAATGTGTCTATACATACACTGGAATACTATTAAATATAAAAAGGAGTGAAATACTGACACGTGCTGCAACATGGATGAACCTGGAAATCATTGTGCTGAGTGAAATAAGCCAGTCACAAAAGGCCACATAGGATATGATGCCATTTATATGAAATAATCTAGAATAAGCAAATCCATAAAGGATTTTCATAGGTTATTATAAAGCCTTCTTTAAAATTATGGTTTAAGACACAGATAGTAGACACAAACACAAGGAGCACCCCTGGGGTACAGAGCAGTGAGGAAAGACACAAGGTAAGGAGGAGACAGGGTCCTTCTGCCTCAAACCAAAAAAACTATGCCCTCAATTCATACTGAGACGAGGATAAAAAAACAGCCATACAGAGCAGAGATAAACAAAACACAGAATAGAAAAACAATAGAGAAAAATCAATGAAACCAAAAGTCGGTTCTTTGAAAAGATCAACAAAACACAAACCTTTAGCTAGATGACTAAGAAAAAAGAGAGAAGAATCCAATTACGAAAATCAGAAAAGAAAGTGAGGACATTACTACTGACTTTACAGAAATAAAAAGTGTTGTCAGAGAATGCTATGAATAATAGTACACTAACAAATTGAGTAACCTAGATGAAATGGACAAATTCCTAGAAACACAAAACCTAACAATCTAAGTAGACTTATAGAACTAGTAAGGGGACTGAATTGGTAATCAAAAATCTCTTGACAAAGAAAACCCTTGGAGCTCATGGCTTCACTGCTGAATTCTATCAAACATTTAAAGAATTAACACCAATATTTCTCAAATTTTTCCAAAAAATTAAAGAGGAAGAAACACTTCCTAATTCATTCTCTGAGGCCAACATTACTCTGATATCAAAGCCAAACAAAGATACTACAATAAAAGAAAACTACAGGCCAATATCCCTTATGAACCCTGATGTAAAAATTCTCAAGAAAATACTAGCAAACCAAATTCAGCAGCATATTAAAAGGATTATAAATCATGACCAAGTGGGATTCACTCCTGGAATGCAAGGATGGTTCAACATGTAAAAATCGATCAACATAATATACCATATTAACAAAATGAAAAAAAAAAAAAAAAAGCACATGATCATGTCAATCACTGCAGAAAAAGCATCTGACAAAACTCAAACAACCTTTCATGAGAAAAACACTCGACAAACTAGGAATAGAAGGAAATTACCTCAGCATAAAAGCCATATTTGAAAAACACAGTGAACATCATACTCAATGATGAAAGGCTGAAAGCTTTTCCTCTAAGATCAGGAACACGACAAGAATGCCTGCTTTTGCTACTGTTATTCAACGTAATACTAGAAGTTCTAACCAGAGCAATTAGGCAGGAAAAAATAGTAAAAGGCATTCAAATTGAAAAGGAAGAAGTAAAATTATCTCTATTTACAGATGATATGATCTTATATGTAGAAAACCCTAAGGATTACACACACACACACACACACACACACACACACAGAACAACTGTTAAAACTAACAAAATGAAATCAGCAAAGTAGCAGGATACAAATTCAACACACAAAAAACACTTGCATTTCTATACACTAACAATGAACAATCTAAAAAGGAAATTACAAAAACAATTCTACTTACAATAGCATCAAAAAGAACACTTACGAATTAACCAAGGAAGTGAAAGAGTTGTATAATGAAAACTATAAAACACTGCTAATTAATGAAGACATAAATTAAGGGAAATTTCATGGATTGGAAAAATGAATACTGTTAATATGCCAACACCACTAAAGCAATCTGCAGATTCAATGCAATCCCTATAAAAATCGCAATGATTTTTGCAGAAATAGAAAAACCCATCCTAAACTTCATATGTAATCTCAAGGGACTCAAACAGCCAAAACAATCTTGAAAAAGAACAAAGCTGGAGGACTCACATTTCCTGAATTCAAAACTTACTTCCAAGCTACAGTAATCAAAATACTGTGTGCTGGCATAAAGACAGACATATAGAACAATGGAATAGAATAGAGAGCCCCGAAATAAAATCAAATGATTTCTGACAAAGGTCAAGATCATTCAATGGGGAAAGGAAAGTCTTTTCAACAAATGGTGCTGGGAAAATGGGACATCCACATGCAAAAGAATGAAGTTGGACCCTTACCTAACATCATACACAAAAATTAACTCAAAATGGGTCAAAAACCTAAATTTAAAAGCTAAAACTATAAAACTCTTAGAAGAAAATATAGGGCACTGGATTTGGCAACAATTTCTTAAACATGGCACCAAAGGCACAGGCAACCAAAAAATATTGACAAATTGAACTTCATGAAAATTTTTTAAATGTATACATCAAAAAACAGTATCTACATGGTAAAAAGACAACCCACAGAAAGGGAAAATATTTGCAAATCATGTATCCGATTAATATCCATAATATATAGAGAACCCCTAAAACTCAACAACAACAAAAACCTGATTCAAAATGGGTGAAGGTGGGCCGGCCCGGTGGCGCACTGCCACAGTGCGCCACTTGGGAACGTGGCAGTGCTCCCGTCGAGGGTTCGGATCCCACATACAGACCGGTTCCCACTCACTGGCTGAGCGAGGGGCAGGCGCAGCACCGAGGGTTGCGATCCCATTGCCGGTCCCGGTCCGGTACGGGCGCGACACTGAGGGTTGCAATCCGTTGCCGGACACGAGAAAAAGACAAAAAAGGAAAAAAAAAAAAAAAAATGGGTGAAGGAATTGAACAGACATTTCTCCAAAGGAGATTCTTGCCAAAGATATACAAATGGGGTTGGCTGATTAGCTCAGTTGGTTAGAGCAGGGGTGTGAGAACACCAAGGTCAAGGGCTGGATCCCCATACTGGCCAGCGCCCAGAACAAACAAGATATACAAATGGCAAATAAGCACATGAAAAGATGCTCAACATCACTAATCATTAGGGAAATGCAAATCAAAACCACAGTGAGATACCACCTCATACCCATTAGGATGGCCACTATCTTTTTTGTTTGTTTATTGTTATTATGTTTTTTACATTCTAAGATGTTGCAGAGCAGTGGGAGGGGGAGGGGGTAAGGTGACAGAGGTGGGGGTTGGGGGGACGACGGCTACTATCAAAAACAAAACAACAAGTGTTGGGAAGGATGTGGAAAAGTTGGGAATGTAAAATGGTACAGCCACTGTGGAACACAGTATAGTGGTTCCTTGAAAATTAGAAACAGACTTACCATATAATCCAACAATTCCACTTCTGGGTATATACACCAAAGAATTGATATTAGAGTCTCAAAGAGATATTTGTATGCCCCTGTTCATAGCAGCATTATTCATAACGGCTAAAACACGGAAGCAACCCAAGTGTCCATCAACAGATAAACTAATAAACAAAACATCGTATATCCATGCAATGGAATATTATTCAGCCTTAAAGAAGAAGGAAATTCTGACATATGCTACAACATGAGTGAACCTTGAGGGCATTATGTTAAGTAAAATAAGCCAGTAACAAAAAGAAATACTGTATGATTACACTTACGTGGTCAAAATCATAGACAGAAAGCAGAATGGTGGTTGCCAGGGGTTGGGGGAGAGGAAAACAGGAAGTTAGTATTTAATGGGTACGACGTTTCAATTTTGTAAGATGAAATGGGTTATGGAGGTGGACAGTGGCAATGATTGCACAACATTGTGAATGTGCTTAATGCCACTTAAACTGTACACTTAAAAATGGTCAAGATAGGGCCAGCCTGTGGCTCACTCGGGAGAGTGCGGTGCTGATAACACCAAGGCCACAGGTTTGGATCCCATATAGGGATGGCTGGTTTGCTCACTTGGAGAGCGTGGTGCTGACAACACCAAGTCAAGGGTTAAGATCCCCTTACCGGTCATCTTTTTAAAAGAAAAATGGTCAAGATAGTAAATTTTATGCTGTGTATATTTTAACACAAAAAGAAACCAGCCATATAAGACTTGTGCTTGGGGTTTTGGGGTTTTTTTTTTTAGAAATATAATTGAGGAAACCATCCACTATATCACTCAAGGAAGGTAGAAACTTCCTGAGGTCACTATTCCTGGCTTCTGTCTTAGAAATATCAGACAGTGAGTACCAGATACCACGGATCTTATAAGTGATCTTATCTTGCCTCCATGGCTGGAAAGCACACAGCCAAATTTGCAGGTCACCTCTAGCAAGTATGCAGGACCTCACAGGTAAATCTCTGCATTCCAAACTTACTCTTCTTTTCTTCTCTCCTTGCATTTCCTCCCTGTTTTGTTCTACCGTATCATTTGTACTTCTTGAGCTATCTCGAATCCTTCTATGTAATCAAAGAAGGCATCAGAAACATACCAAATAAAGACACCAAGTTATAGATAATGAAAGCCCCGGAGATGTTTACACCTTCTAACCCAGCAACTTCCAAAAGAAATAATTCATGTGCAGCCAAAAGCTCCCTATATAAAGCCACCTGTGGTCGAGCGAGCCAAAAATTGGGTATCACGTGAATGGCCAGCATTAGGGAGATAGTTAAGAGTGAGTACGTATCACTAAGAGGGAACATTATAAAGCCATTTGAATTCATGATGATGAAGACCATGGAGATGTGGAGAAATGCTTAAAGGAAAATGTTAGATGAGAAAAGCAGACTGTAACCATGGGCCAGGATTGAAATGGAAGAGGAAAAAGTACAATGTCTGTGTTAGCTTGCAAGGTTCTGGATGATTTTTTCTTAAGTTGTCTTATTTTCCGTCTTGGCAGTTTTGAAATCCAAACTCCCCAAAAGCAATGTCAGGCTTAGAAAACAGAGGGGTTAGGGCAGGACTCGGGCCACATACAGCTCAGCCACAGAGCCATCGAGTGGTCTCCTGGGATGAGGTCCTCTGTAGTAGAGCTCACTGCAGGTACAGAGGGCTACTCGGGAAAGCAGCTAATGAGAGCTTTGGTTTAAAAAAGAAAAGGGCGGAGCATGGAGTGGTAGTGGTCCAGAGGGTTCTTTAGAGAAGGATTCCTGGAGAAGATGACTGCGACCCAGGCTCTGATGCAAGCAGGGAGAACAGTCCTGGTGGGAGAAACGACACATGCTACGCAGGAGAACAGGTGGGTTTGCGTGGCTGGATCTATGGTGGGAAACAGGAAGGACAGAGGGAGGTCACAGTTCACTCGGGGGAACTGGGGCCCATCCACAGGGAACAAAGACAGGACAGAAATGTTCTGGCAACCTCATAATAATAACATCTACTGGCCTCTCACCCCATACCCAGTAAAGCTCAGAAACTGTTGGTAATTTGCATTCTCCCAGTTAATGTGCAGGGGACCGGGATTCTGCCCTCTATGTTTTTGCTTCTCAACTACCCTGCTGTTTCCCATGGAAAGCATCTTAGATCTGTAAAAGCCGCACTAGATCTATAAAAGCCATACTATTCTCTAGCTTTCTCCATTCATTGCATCTGGTTGTCTTCTTGGTAGAGATTCTGGAATCTTCTACCCTAGATGTCTGGGAATGACGTGAAGCAGCATTGGGAGGAGGCCTGAGATATGAATGAGGGTTCGCCTGGTACAATAGGGGCACTTACGTGGGGGATGCCAAAGAATGACCAAAGGGGAAAGGAGTGACCAGAGAGACTGCCTGTGAAAAATGGAGAAGAGACAAAGGGATCAGAGAGGGGGACCTGGGGGAAAGGGAAAGAGTGGGTCAGAGGGGGATGCTGGAGGCATTTCCATTCACCTGTCCTCATTCTACAAATCTGATGTGAAGGCCCAGCCTGCAGGGTTGTGCATTTTATGCGTGGCTTGGTTCTTAGAGAGCGTCATTAATGCAAAACTCCCCATGAGGCAAGATTCACTCCGCGGTAAGAATAAACAGTCCCCTGAGCTCATAAAATCCACAACCACGGTAGCGTACTGTTGCTTTCTGCCTTCTTGGCATAATCTCCATAATTCCCAACAGGGGTCCACCCTAAATTGACAGCTGGGCCTCCCAGAGGCAGCCCCTTGGTTTTGGCCAAGTCTTCCACGTTGTATCACGCTGTGTCGCACTGACATTCCACACCCAAGTAATCAACTTTGAGGTACATTTTTCAGCCCTGGTGCTGCACTCTCTCTTAATGAAGGGGTGGATGGCATTTTGGAGGATTTTTAAATTATAACAACAGTCAATTTTAAAATAGCAATACAAGAGTCACCAAAATCCAGGGCAGGCGTTCCGATGCATGTAAACAGGACACCCTGCTAGACACTGATAGAGAATAGGGACATTTCTGTATTTCTGTTCTTGGCTGACGTGGTGCCACCATGTGGCAAGAGCATTAAACACCAAGTCACACAGCCTGCTGGGGCCAAAGCAGGGACTAGAATTCCAAAGAAGGCATCTTAATCACTGCTTTCCAGCTTTGACCTCTTGCTGTTCCCAGTGAGTTCTGCTTTGTTTTATTTTAATGGTAGGACTCTACATTATTTCAAATTTTGCTTGTAGATTTTTTTTTTTTTTCCTTTTTGTCTCTTTTTTACTGACCGGCAACGGGATCGCAACCCTTGGTGTTGCGCCGCACCGCGCTCAGCCAGTGAGCGGGAACCGGTCTCCACATGGGATCCGAACCCTCGTCTGGAGCACCGCGGCGCTCCCAAGCAGCGCACTCTCCAGTGCGCCACTGGGCCGGCCCTTGTAGATATTTTTATACGGTTCTATTTCAAATTCAAATAATTAGAATTCTCATAAAATGCAACCAGACTGTAAGCTCTGTGCCAGGCTGGGGACCTGGCTGTAGGGCAGACAGGCCTGGTCCTAACCACAGAGAGCTGACCAGGGATGACAAGGACAAAGTGCTATGGCAGGGGAAAAACAGGGGCTGCAGGAACACAAGGGCCAGCTAACCCTGACCTCGCACAAGGAAGGGGGTGTTTAGGGAAGACTTCTGGAGGCGATGACAATAAGTTGAAACCAGGATGGATGGTTAAGAGTTAGCCAGGGGACAAGGCAAAGAAGCAAGAGCCTGAGACATCGTGGGAAGGTTGAGCCGTGCTGGGGGTGCACAGCAAGCCAGGCTGTGGGAGGTGAAGGGGCAGGGGCCAGGTCACCAAAGAAAGGCCCTGTAGACCCTGCTAAGGAGTCCATCCAAAGAAGGACACTGCAGATATGCATGTGACAAAGGTCTTCCTTGCAGCTGAGAGTGGATGGGAGGGTGGTGGGAATTTAAGACCAGCTAACTGTAACTGTCCCAGAGAGCTGGCATCCCAGTGCAGCCTTCACTCATAATTCCTTTGCCACTTCTGTCCTTCACTGGATTCATAGGAAGAAAGAGGGACCACAGGCTTCAGAATAAGAGCATCACTCGACCACACATCTTGGATAGGAAAAAAGGTGAGTCAGAGCAGGATTTCTATAACCCCAAGAGCAGCAGCCTTTCCCCATCCCATTTTTATTACTCTGAGGTAACTGCGCTGACGACAGGCAGGTGGGGGGCTCTTATGTGACAATGGGCCCTCTGAGGTGGGAAATGGGGGGGAGTCCGGGTTTTCAGTTATTAAAATAAACCAGGCCCTGCCAGCCACCAAAACAATAGATAAATTTTTTAAATAAATAAAATAAAATCACTAAGCACTGTGCTAAGTGCTGTGCACACACTAACTAGCACATCAGTGCCTTCCCTCTTAGCCTGATCTGCCAGAGAAGTGGGCACTGCTATACCACAGAGCTGTGCAGCTTGTCTGAGGGGCACCGTACACACCACAACCTGCAACACAGGCATCTGTGGTATATTTCTTCCACGTGCATTCAACCATCCCATTCTATTCCATGTTGGCAGGGGTATGATTCACCCAATAAGTGTTTAATGAGCACCTGCTATGTGTTAGGTGCTGGGGGTAGAGGACAGCTGGCCAATATGGGATTCCTGGGCTCTCCAGAGTCTCTGTGGCACAGCAATGCCCATTTCTCTGGCAGATCAAGCTGAGGGGCAAGGAACTGATATGCCTCTCAGATGTCCCTACCTCTGGGCAGCCCAGGACAGAGGGGACTCCCTGAGACAGAATGTCCAGTGTTCCCCACCACTACCACCATGACCCACAAGCCGGGAATCCCAGTGTTTCTTTCTCTTCCCTCTTTTTTTATTTTATGAGAAAATCAGGTAACGGTGAAGTAGGAGTTAGGTTTAAAATCAGGGCATATGGAAAACCTACACATAATCCAAATAATCTTTAAAAATTCCTCAAATCCCCAAGACTTGGGCTCTTGGGAATTCCAATAATTAAATCCTTTGTTTTTCTTTGCAGTTGCTGTGGCCTCCCTTTCTCTGGGAAGTGGGAAGGGGGTCTAGGTAAGGGAGGTCGAGGGAATGATGACAGGGAAAATAAGAGGCGTTTCCCCCTCTCCTCTGCTTTGTTGGTTCATTTTCGCCACGTCTCTGGGGTTAAAGGTGCCAGTTTCATGAACCTGCAATGCTATTGCACTGGGAAATGGAAGATTCTAAGGCCTCCTCTAGGCCGGAGCGGGTGCCGCCAATATGACAACAGGGACCACAGTGGGACCCTCTGACTGCCTGAGAGACCCCACGCTCACAGTGAGGGGCTGGGTGGAGAAGCAAGCAGGTGGCAGCTCCTTGCCACCAGATTCGTCCACAGAGAGGCTCAGGAGCTGCTTACCCCCGCCACAGGCCTGGATGAAAAAGAGCTTGGGCTTCCCACGCAGGCTGGGGCAGCCGGTCCCATTGAAGATGTTCACAGTTCTCTCGATGGACACAGAGGATCCATCTATGCCACAGACAGCCCCCGGGAACTGGCGGTGGCTGACCTGGAAGACAAGGAATCCTGGTTACAAAACCAAGAAGCTGAGGTAAGGATCAAATGGCCCGTTCAGAGGCTCTGTAGGGCCATGCATTCAGAAGGACCCAGCTGGGGACACAAGGCTGATTTGGACACAGCAGACTGGTTCTGGAAGGGCCCTAGTCAACATCTATCTATTCCAGGGGTCTAAAATTCATGTACCTATAGGGGCCAGATGGCCTGACTGGAAAGTACCAACTGGTTTCCTCCAGACCAGTGGTTCTCAAAGTGTGGCCACTGGACCAGCAGCATCAGCATCACTTGGGTAACTTGTAAGAAATGCAAATTCCCAGGCCTTACCCAGACCTCCTACATCAGCAGTCTGGTCCTCCAGACACCTCTGATGCAGCTAAACCAATGCTCTGGATCAATTCTTCTCAACTTTACCTGCATGCGAATCACCTAGGAATCTGGTCAAAGTGCAAACTGAATGAAGAGGTCAGTGGTAGGGCCTGAGAGTCTGCACTTCTCATGAGCTCCCAGGTGATGCTAGTCTGGGGGCCCCACTATGAGAGAAAGGACCAAAGGGGCAGCCCCTGCCCAACTACAGACCAGAGTTGCACTCTGAGGACGCTGGCCTAGTCGGGCCAGACCTGTGTGGTTTTTCAAGAAAATTTGGAAATCCTGATTTTGGAGCAAAATTTGCCAGCATTGAGCACACTGTGCACACTGCAGGGGACTACAGGCCCCCAGCTTGTGACTGCTGATCTGTCAAACCCCTCAACTTAAAACATGACGAAACCGAGGCCCAGGAAGAGGTAGGAGCATGGCCACAATGACTCGGCACATCAGTGACCCCACCCCGAGTGTGTCCTAGTGTCCTGGGTCCCACCCAGCAGCAAACAGCCTAGAATGATGCCCAGCAGGACTAGGGCAGGAGCTGAGGCCTCTTCTGGGCTGTGCCCAGCTCTGAATAGAATCCAGGGGTGGGAACTTTGTGAGCAGAACTTGTCTCCTCCCCTCCTCTCCCAGATGGCTTCTCCCCTGAACACCGCCCCACCCAGAAAGGTGCATCCAACTCCTCAAAAGACCAGATGGCTCCCAAGAAAACAACAGGGGGGGACAGGGCCCCACAGCTCTTTCCCACAAAACTAAGGGTGCTTTGGACACAGGAAGGGATGGGACTCCTGCAAGGCCTCTTAACACAGCCTTTACCAGCCCAAGGGGCAGGGCCATGTGGAGACGGCCTCCTACCTCATGGCCGTGAGACAGGATGACAACCACGCAGCAGTCCATAGCACTGTGATCCCGGTGTGCCAGCTCCACCAGCGCCAGGTTCATTTCCTACGAGGGAAGGCTGCAGGTGAGCCAGAAGCACTGGCGGATCAACCCTCCTCCTACGCCTTGTGGGTAGTCACAGGGCCCAGCCCAAAGGCCTGGGCAGCGCGTTCTCTGGCCCCCATGAGCCAATATTGCAGTAACCATAGTCATGATGGTTATAACGCCACCGCTCTCGGGAGAAAGGTGCTGTGCTTGGGCATTGTGCATTTAATCGCCACAACAACCCTATGAGGTAGGTATTATCCGGGCTTCCTAGACAAGGAAACTGAGGCACAGGAGGTCACAAGCAGGCAGCCAAGACAGACAGTCCTCAAACCCAGACTTATCTGAACCTAAAGCTTGAACCCGTGACCACTGGGCAATACTGTCTCCCATGGTCCTACAGATATAAGGGCTTGTCTGGGGAATCGGCTTCCTTTTGGGGTCCTCACAGAACACTGCCCCACTCGCCCCGCATCTCCCTCCACGGACAGGGGCTGTACCTGGGTGGTCAGGTCGCGCTTCACCTCCACGGAGAAGTGCAGCAACTGGAAGCGGTGCTGCAGCTTCTGGCAGTCCAGGTCGGAACCGGTACGGACCTTGAGCCCGGACTCAGGGAAGAAGTTTATGTTGTTGATGATGAGGCAGTGGCCACATGGGTCCGCACTCAGGACGTACACCTGCCCGAGAGAAGACACGACCCCCCGCTCCCACTTGTGTGCCTGACAGTCCAGAAAGATGGAATGGAAAAAGGGGTCTGCCCTCCCACTGACGGAGTAGCAGGGTCTGCACCCAGCGTTACAGGGCAGAAGAGAACCTGGCACGAGCTGTATGGCTCAACTCTGGAGAGAAGATTCGCTCCCATCTCAGTATTCAGGGATGGGAGCTGCCAGCTTAGAAACCCATTCACCCCAAAATGACCTTGCACATCACCTATCCGGTGGCTCTTACCCAGGGGTGCACCTCGGAGCGACTGAGGCTGCTTCCTCCCCAGACTCTTTCCTCTTGTAATCCTCTCACAGCCTGTTCTTTTTGTTTATGTACTTATCACTATTTATACTGACATATTCAGGTGCCTAAACTTCTCTCCCCTGCTAGACTGATGGCTCCACAAGGGCTAGAATCACATGGGGTCTCTTCTCCAGGCAGCCCCAGCAAAGAGCCCAGGGTCGGCACACAGGAGACACATGGTAAGTGCTTCTGAATGAGAGCGCAGTGACTTGGGATGGGTGGGTGCTGCAGCCGATGCTGATGCCAGCCCCTGCTTAGGTCTGAACCCCTGACTTTACAGGTGAGGAAGAGCAGGCTGGAACAATCTGCTCCAGCAAGGGCTGGCCCGCAGTCTGCCTGGCTGAGTTCCTGGGGCTCCTGACACAGCTGTAGGGAAGGAACTAGGAAGTGGAAAGGGATGGGCCCAGAGCCCAAGCAACTGGCCACAAATCAATGGAGACTCACCAAATCCGTGTTTTGCCTTGGTTTCTCAGTACTGCTGGATCTCTTCTCAGCACCTGGAGAGACAAAGAGGGGAACGTGGATGTCAGGGCCCAATGGGGGCGGGACAAGGGATTCTGTGAGGATAGGCCCCCACAAAAACAGAGAAAAGCAGGAACTCGGAGATCTTCAGGCTCTGCTGGTGGGAAAGCCAAGCAGCACAGCCACCTTGGAGACCTGTCTAGAGGTTTCTATTAAGGCTAAATACACACCTACTCCTTGACCAGCAAGTCCATCCTCAGGTATATATTCAAGAGAAATGGTGCCTATGGGCACAAAAAGACTTGGCCAAGAATATTCACTGAGGCCTTGTAATGCCCCAAACTGGAAACAACCAATCCAACAAGCTGATGGATATACAACTGTGAGACAGCCACACAAGGGGACATGACACAGCCTAAAAAGGAACGAGCTACTAACACATGCCGTGCCATGGATAACCTCAAAAACATCATGCTGTGTAAAAAAGGCCAGACACAGAAGAGTATAGATGGTATGATTCCATTTATATGAAATTCCACATCAGAACAGACTAATAGAAGCTCCAGGGCTGCAGATGCTCCCTGTCTGTGGAGTCCATGGGGCCCAGCACACAGTAGGTTCTCAGGAAATATTTACAGAATAAATAAATGAGTAAAGATGGTCGTTTTATGGTCATTTTCCTTGTCAAAAGAATTTTCATTTCAATTAGCAAGAAGTCAATGGACACCAGCCTGTAAGGTCGTAGGATATCACAGGACACAGTGGCTACCTCCAAGTTGCAATGGAGCCTACACTTGTGTTCTGACAATGGTGCCATTCTTTGCTTAGAGCAGGACTGAACTCATTGGGAACTATTCTCTTGCTAGTTTAAGAGCCACACCAGAAAGCAGTCACACTATTTTTTAAATTAGAAATGGTTTTACCTGCACATGGCTCACTTGGGAGAGTGTGGTGCTGATAACACCAAGGCCATGGGTTCGGATCCTATATAGGGATGGCTGGTTAGCTCACTTGGGGGAGCGTGGTGCTGACACCACCAAGTCAAGGGGTAAGATCCCCGGATCAGTCATCTTTAAAAAAATAATAATAATAAATGGTTTTACCTACACATGGCTCACTTGGGAGAGTGTGGTGCTGATAACACCAAGGCCATGGGTTCGGATCCTATATAGGGATGGCTGGTTAGCTCACTTGGGGGAGCGTGGTGCTGACACCACCAAGTCAAGGGTTAAGATCCCCGTATCAGTCATCTTTAAAAAAATAATAATAATAAATGGTTTTACCTAACCCAAAGGCTCCTATTAGTCCACAGACTTAATTTTGAGAACATTTGCTCACTTCCAAAATTCCACTGCACTCCAAAGATATAACCATTATCCCCTGCTGAGAATCCACCCATTTCCTGAATTAGCACTAACAATCTGCAAAGCAGAACAGGTGCTCTTGAGGGGCCCACAGGCTCCAGGAGCAAATTAACAAAGGCGTGACAAAAGAAAGGGGAAGGAAAGGCATTCCAGGCAGAGGGCACAGCACTAACAAGGGCATGGCATGAGGGGGACCTCAAGTAGGATGACATGGCCATTTACATCATGCATGACAGCAGTTTCTCTCAAAATGGCGACTCCCACAGGGACAACAAACACTCATGCTTTTGGGAAAAATATGAAAACGGTCAGGGCTCCTCAGGTGTTCAGAATCTTGTCGAGCATTTGCTGTAAATATCCTCAGGTGTTCCTTGTTACTACTTAAGGTAAGTTGTGTATGGGCACCCAGGTGTCCAGGGTTGTGCACTTAAGTATAAAAGACTAACAGCTCTGATCCACAGTGCTTCTCAGAACTCTCAGAGAAGCCTCTGGGACAGTTGCTCCTAGATCTGAATTAAACCCATTCACTTTTGAGAAGATTCGCTCCCATCTCAGTATTCAGGGATGGGAGCTGCCAGCTTAGAAACCCATTCACCCCAAAATGACCTTGCACATCACCTATCCGGTGGCTCTTACCCAGGGGTGCACCTCGGAGCGACTGAGGCTGCTTCCTCCCCAGACTCTTTCCTCTTGTAATCCTCTCACAGCCTGTTCTTTTTGTTTATGTACTTATCACTATTTATACTGACATATTCAGGTGCCTAAACTTCTCTCCCCTGCTAGACTGATGGCTCCACAAGGGCTAGAATCACATGGGGTCTCTTCTCCAGGCAGCCCCAGCAAAGAGCCCAGGGTCGGCACACAGGAGACACATGGTAAGTGCTTCTGAATGAGAGCGCAGTGACTTGGGATGGGTGGGTGCTGCAGCCGATGCTGATGCCAGCCCCTGCTTAGGTCTGAACCCCTGACTTTACAGGTGAGGAAGAGCAGGCTGGAACAATCTGCTCCAGCAAGGGCTGGCCCGCAGTCTGCCTGGCTGAGTTCCTGGGGCTCCTGACACAGCTGTAGGGAAGGAACTAGGAAGTGGAAAGGGATGGGCCCAGAGCCCAAGCAACTGGCCACAAATCAATGGAGACTCACCAAATCCGTGTTTTGCCTTGGTTTCTCAGTACTGCTGGATCTCTTCTCAGCACCTGGAGAGACAAAGAGGGGAACGTGGATGTCAGGGCCCAATGGGGGCGGGACAAGGGATTCTGTGATGACAACACCAAGTCAAGGGTTAAGATCCCCTTACCGGTCATCTTTTTTAAAAAAAAGAACAGGAAGTTTTCAGTACAGACCATTGGTCCTAAATGACTCAAACTGACATTTCCCAGAACAATGACGGATGAACTTTCTACTTTGCCCACCTCCTTTACAGCAGGGTAATAATGCATATGAACAATTCCAGAACCATTCTTCCTTATACCTTCTTCCTTTCACCTAATTGCAGCTTCATATCTTCATCATGTTTGTTTCTTTGCTTTAAGGGGTTGTCCAAAACCACAGTTATTCAGCACAGAAAACAGATACCACTTTTTACCCATCACATAGGAAAAAATGTTAATACTAGTGCTGGCAGGAATGTGGGGAAATGGTTACCTCCACTTGTGGTTGGTGAGATTATAAAAGGACACCTGTTTGAATACAAGTTGGTAGCATCTGTGAAAAGGGAACATGAACCCTTTAACCCACAATTCCAGTTCTAGAAATGTATCCCCCAGTCAGAGATAGATGCACATGCAAGGCCATTGCAGAAACAACACAAATGTCCATCAACAGGGGTGGGATAAATGAAATACAGTGCAAGGCACATGTGGAGCTATACAGTGGAGCAGACAGAACCCAGAAGCCTGGACTGCAACTCTGTTTCCACTTGTCACTAGCTGTGTGATTTAGGGCAAGTCATTTCCCAATCTGTGACTCACTTTGCTCAACAGTAAAATGGGAAAACTGTAGCCCCTGCATTACAGAGAGTTGGGAAGATTAAAGCAGATCATTTATATAAGCACTCCAAACACTGCCTGGCAAATTGTAAGTTTCAATAATGTTAACCATTAACATCGATACTATGCAATGGTCCACTAGGCAACCATGAAGTAAAAAGTGCTAGATCTCCATGAGCTGCCATGGAAACAAAGCCCTAATTGAAAACAACCCACATGTCCATCAATAGGAGAATGGTTAAATAAATTGTGGACTATTCAGAATAGGAACTTCTACCACCTCACAATGAGAAAGAATGAACTACTGAAATGCACAACAACATGAATGAATTTCACAGATACACGAACGGTGAAAGAAGCCAGACTCAAAAGAGTACATACCATAGGATTTCATTTATATTGAAGTTCAAGGACAAGCAAAAGGGATCTATGGAGATAGAGATCGGAATAGTGATTACCTTGGGTAGAGGAGAGTAGCAATAGACTGGGAAGAAGCAAGAGAGTCTTGTAGGACACCAGAATATTTTATATCTTGATGATCTGGGTGTTGGTTGTCAGTATGTACACACAGGTAGAAATCATTCAGCTGAGGCCGGCCCGTGGCTCACTTGGTAGAGTGTGGTGCTGATAACACCAAGGCCACGGGTTCTGATCCTATACAGGGATGGCCGGTTTGCTCACTGGCTGAGCGTGGTGCTGACAACACCAAGCCAAGGGTTGAGATCCCCTTACCAGTCATCTTTTAAAAAAAAAAAAAAAAAAGAAATCATCCAGCTGTACTCTTGGGATTTATGCATTTTACTAGATGTAGTCTTGTGTGTGACCTTAGGCAAATTATTTAACTTCCCTGAACCTCAGTTTTCTCATTGACAAGGATAGATCTAATGATACCCACCTCATAGGGCTGCTGTGAGGGAAGGATGTAAGGGCATATACTATGCAAATGTGTATATATATATATATGTATGTATGGGGCCGACTCTTGACAAACAGAGGCCTCTCTCTGGCTCCCAGGCATGGGCTAGTTCAAGATACCCACCCAGACCCAAAGGCAAATCCTAAACAATAGCTGGATCTAGAAATATTGATCAAAACCTGGAACATCCAAAACAGACTACATTCAGCACAAGCTTTTCAGAGGAGGAGCTGCCAAAATTCTATCTCCAGAAAACCTCCCCAAATATTTCACCTATCCCTATGAGCACTCAGAAAGACCACACCAAAATTAGATTCTGAGTCTCAACCATGTAGCTATATCAGCAGTCACCCCCCAATAACGACTCATCACACCCATCCACCAACCACTCTCAATAGTCACAAACAATACTGAATCCTCCAAAACTAATGTCCACAAGCCTGTGTGTTTCTGGTCTGAGAATCTCTGGCCTACCGGATCGCAGAAGGGAAGCCAGCTCGTCCTGGGCTGTGTCCTCTAAGCAGGAGATGAACAAAGGAAGGGCCCGACTCCCTCGAGTCTCTAGATCGATGATCAGCTGCCTGGCCTGATCCCGCCGAGATCCAGAGCCTGCCCGCTGTAGGGAAGAAAAGATACGACACTAATTACCCACATACTTTCATGTGGCTCTCAACTTGTCCCCCCATAATCAGGCACGTGAGCAAAAATTGAGCCTGCTGGTACACTGAGTATGTGCCGCTCACCGGCCTTTGCTTATCTATTCATTCAGTACTATGAAGGCATCTACTATGTGTCCAGCACTGTGCTAAGTGCTGAAACTACAGCAGGAGCTGGTGGTTAGCTCAACTGGTTTGAACGTGGTGCTAATAACAGCAAGGTCCGGGTTCTATCCCCATGCCAGCCAGCAAAAATAAATAAATAAAAGGTTTGAAAATACAACAGGGAACAGTCTCAGTCCTCAAGGAGTAAACATCTAGTGGGGGCTGCAAACAGACAAACCATCGAGGTCACAGAAAGGAAGGAAGTGGCCGGAAGGAAAGCCCAAGGGGCTGGGAGGGTACAGGGCCACCCAACTCAGCTCAGGGGGCTGGGGAAGTCCCGAAGAGGGGATGTCTTAGCTGAGACTCTAAGGAACATCAGGAAATGAATAATGAATTCAGAGAAATGTAAGGGGGTAGGTAGACAGCGGTGTGGGACGAGGCCTTTGCATGGCTAGGCAAAGAAATTCATCCTGAGAGCTGTGCAGAGGGAGTGACAGTCAGATCTGCCTTTTGAAAATTCATCCTGGGGTCAGGGTAGACAGTGAAAAGGAGTGAGCCACAGCCAGGTCAGGAGGCAGCAAAGACGGTGCAGCTGGAATGGAGAGAAGTGAGGCCGGAGCAGAGATAGGAGGGTGATCGAGCAGGACAGGGACACTGGGTGGACTGTGAAGACAGAGGCATAGTCAGTGTTGACAGGCATCAGGACAGTGAAGCTGTCTCGAAGGCGGGGAGCAGAAGGAAGACGCTGGGTATCTGCTGGTGCCTGTCTTTGGAGACCCAGCACTGGACAAGCTCCTCAGGATCCACAGGGATTAGACACCTCTCTGTCCTCAAATATTCTACAGCAGCACTGTCCAAGAGAACGTTCCGTGATGATAAAAATGTTCTTAATCTGTGCTGTCCAATATGGTAGCCATCAGTCAAATGTGGACACTGAGCACCTGGGTAGGACAACTGAGGAACCGAATTTTTAAATTTTATTCAATTTTAATTACTCCAAATTTACATTTAAATAACCACATGTGGCTAATGGCTGCTATATTGAACAGCACAGACCTATAGTGCCATTGCAAAGATAAGTCTCTTTGCAAACAGCTTGCAAAACAGCTACATGCAAATAGATGATGGTATTTAGATTTCTCTCAACATTTGCTGAACACTCACAGTAGGCCAGACACTGTGTTAAATGCATCATTTCATTTTTCTCCCCTCAACAACCTTAATGTGTTAAATTACAACTTCCCCACTTTACAGATGAAGGAAACTGAGTCACAGAAAGTTTTTGGGTTTTTTTTGCTTTTGTTTTTTGGCACCTTGCTAACATGTAACAAAGCCAGGATGAGGGCCCAGATCCAACAGGCTCCGAAGCCTGTGTGTTTATCAGCCACATCAGGTGTGGCAAAGTGGTGATCCATGGTGCACACGGGGTTCTTAAAAAATTCTGAATTTGTTGCTAACATTTTTTTCTTCTTCAGATTCGTCAGACTGATGTTGATAATATTTTAAGTCAGAGAATTTGACAGAGAACCAAGATTTCCAGGCTCTCTTTTAAAATGTGAGAGACTGGGAAGGGGGGAGGAGAAAAAAGTGAACACTCTGGCAGCACCAGGTGAGCATGCTGGTAGGACCATCCTCAGCTGCAGCTGGGGTAGAGCAGAGGCTGCCCACTACAGCGCGCTCCCATTGGGCCTCATGGGCATTGCGCTTGTGATCCCTATGAACGTGCTGAAAGGCAAGGACTATGGCCCTAAACTGAGATAGGAGGTGCTCAGTTTCCCTGGGTTGGGGTTTCAGGACACACCTCTGGTTTCAAGCCACTCCCCCAGGTCTCAGGCCCCTCCCCTAGAGGAGAGTTACTGTTGCTTGTTGCACCTATTTTCAGCACCAACACAGGGAGGTTGAGACCACAAGGGGTGGACTTACGCAAACCTAGTAGCAAAGCATGCTCAGTAAAAGGAATTTATACAGGCTTATATGACCCCAGTGACCTCGCATGCTCAGTGGGAGTTTATCCTTTGAATGACCTTCCACTAGTGGTGCTAAAGAGCACAGAATATTCTTGAATATGTCTGGTGCATGTGATAGGATCTGACCAATGAACATGTTCCAAGAGACCAACTGAGCACATACAAGGCTATGTCACATAACAGGAAACCACTCCTTACTTGAATACTCATTAGAGAGCATGAATATGTATTAGACAGCAAAACAACAGATCCTAAGCTGAATCCTAACAGAAGGTGGGGTTGCTGCTCAGCTCCTAGAGCCAGCCTGCACTCTGCCTGTAGAGAATTTTTTTTTTTTGTATCAAGCTTACTTTCAGCAAGCAGCTGCTCACTCTCTTGAGCCAACCTGCACTCTGTACTGAACTTTAAGTGTGTATTTCTTGCTTTTGTGTTTAATTGGGTGTGGGCTCTGCTCAGTCTCTGGAGCTATGTTGCACTCTCTCTGTGAAATCTGTATCCCTTATTTGTCATATTAAACCTGTTCTCACTTTGTACTGTGACTCTGCTCTTAAATTCTTTCCTGTTGTGGAGTCAAGAACCTGGTAAGAGGATGGGGTGGGTTGAAGCCCGCTCTCGGGCCTCCCAGACCCTCTCCTCCAGCATCAAAACCACTTCCACTCTTTTATCATTAACTGGTAATTGCCCATGCTATTAAAGAATCCCTCCCTGGGCCAGGCCAAGCTCCTGGCCAAGGGAGGCTCAGCCTCCTGGTCAACCCTCAGGGCACTGGCCAGGGGCCTCCAGCCAGCTACTCAAGCCCACTGCACCTCATGGTAGGAAATACCTCCAGGGTCCTCACAGTCCTCAAGTGAGGATCAAATAAGACAAAAACATGAAAGTACTTTTAAAGCTCAAATACTAGGCCGGCCTGTGGCTCACTCGGTAGAGTGCGGTGCTGATAACACCAAGGCCACGGGTTCGGATCCCATATAGAGATGGCCGGCTTGCTCACTGACTGAGCGTGGTGTTGACAACACCAAGCCAAGGGCTGAGATCCCCTTACCGGTCATCTTTTAAAAAAAAAAAAAAAACCTCAAATACTTGAGGGCCGGCCTGTGGCTCACTTGGGAGAGTGTGGTGCTGATAACACCAAGGCCACGGGTTCGGATCCTATATAGGGATGGCCGGTTGACTCACTGGCTGAGCTTGGTGCTGACAACACCAAGTCAAGGGTTGAGATCCCCTCACCGGTCATCTTTTAAAAAAAAATAAAATAGGGCCGGCCCGTGGCTCACTCGGGAGAGTGCGGTGCTGATAACACCAAGGCCCCGGGTTCGGATCCCATGTAGGGATGGCCGGTTCGCTCCACTGGCTGAGCGTGGTGCTGACAACACCAAGTCAAGGGTTAAGATCCCCTTGCCGGTCATCTTTTTAAAAATAAATAAATAAATAAATAAATAAAATATAAACCTCAAATATTTGACGTATTCTCTCCACTACCAACATCAGGTCCCCTCATTTCCAAGACCCCTTTCAAAACTGAAACAATACATAAGGGGCTGGCCCAAGAGGACAGGGCACTTAGGCCCTTTCTCTACCTGGTACTACGCTATTTCACGTTCATTATCTCATTTAACCCTTATGACAATATTACTGTTGTCCCCATTGCACAGCCCAGCAAACTGAGGCTGGAAGAGGATGAGTGACTTGGCCATAGACACTCGTCCAGGCAGTCTGACGCCAAACCAGATTCCTATGAGAAGCTCTGTGCCAGAGAAGTCATAACACTCACGCCCCCTTGGTCGCAGGAACCAGCAGCACTAACGGGGCGCGCTTCAGGGCAAGGCGTGGGGCGGCTCCGGCCAACACCCAGCAAGGAGCGCCCGGGACGCTTGGGTTCCGCTGGAGGATCTGGTGGGCTCGATGCCGTCAGGGAAAACGGGGGGTTCCCCCAGAACGGTTCCCCAGCGGGGGTGGGGAGTACACCACGGTGAGAGGAGGGCGGGAGCTCGGCCGTTAGGTCACGCTGTGGCTTCCCCAACCCTCTGGGCGCGGCCTCGCTGTCCCCACCTGGGCCGTGGACGTCCTAGCGGGAAGCGGGGGACGCGGGCAGGGCGGGGGCGCACCTGAATGTCCTCAATCATGTCGGGCGTGAAGATCAGGTCACACGGGTAGTAAGTGGCAGAGGCAGGCAGGATTCAAACCCGAACCTGACTCTTCAGTCCACACTCTTAACCAAGAGTCCACCTTAGAATGTGATAGCTTGAGCAGGAAAACCTCAGCTACATTCTGTCATAGAAGGAAAATACAACAAACTTAGCTTGATGGGCTTGTCTTTGTTACTCCCTTTGTTAGAACACAGTGTTATAACCCAAGGTCAAGAGTTTAGATCCCCTTACAAGCCAGCCTCCCACTTCCCTCCCGGCTCCTCCCCAAAAGAAAAGATCTCAATTGGCTTTACTGGGATTCTAGAATGAGGCAACAGTTCATTCCATAAAATAGAATAAGTGTTCTAATGAGCTGAGCAAAAGGGGTTGGGTTTGTAGACAGAAAAAGGGCTGAAGAAACGAACAACAAAAAGCTGATTGGTCATTTCAAAGTTATTTTCCTTGTAAGGTGGGGACAGGGAGACAGGACAATAGAAAAATGACAGAATGTTTAACATTAGGTTACTTCTTTTGTGTAAGGATTAAAACAGAGGGCACTTTATTGTAATGCCTATTGAAAGTTTAAACTGGACTGTTTGGGAAATTAGCAGTTATCTCTCCTGATTTCTCTGAAGGTCACACAACAAACAATTTAGTTTGGATTCAGTGATGTGGAACTTTAGCATGGATGACTCCATTTCAATTTTTTAGTCTGGTCTGTTGGGGCCTAGTGCAGGAACTTAGTCCAAAACAATGGCCTCCTATAATTTTTATTTAACAATTCATTCATTTATGCTACAAATATGTATTGAGCCTGCGTGTGCCAAGGTCTGTGCAGACACGGAGACTATCAATGTGAACAAAAGAGACAAACACCCCTGCCCTTATGAGTGGAATACTTATATTCCAGGGGGAGGAAGCAGACGACAATGTAAATGAATAAAAGATATAGTATTTTAGTGACAAATGCAAACAAGAAAAAAAATTAAAAACAAGGCAGTGGAATATGAAATCTCTCTATATCCCAAAGGAACCTACCTCATTGGCTCAAAGAAAGTTAACCTCATTCACCTGAGCCTTTTCGCTCTCCCCACCCCCACTGCCCTTTCCCCTGCTTAAGGCAGGGCCTGGCACATTCTAGGGTGGAGCTCGCTTTTCAGTAAAGGGGATTAAGAGTCCGGGATTCTAGGCCTTGGGCAAGTCCCTGACCCTCCCTGGGCCTCAATCTCCCCATCAGTGTATGGAGGAGTTGCACTAGAAAGAATCCCTAAGGTCCCTACCAACTTGCTCCAGGATTCTATGAATAGGGTTAAAGAGAATAGGGACTAACCATTGCTTCCCCATCCTAGCAACTGTTGCTAGATAAGGGCCATCTCCCGGTAGGATGGAAACCCTTCCCTCGATCGGGGAGGTCTTCTTAGCATCCCATCATGCAAAGCGACTTTGCCTCGCTAGGAGGCACGTTTTAGCCTCTTTGGTCACGATCAACCCTTTGGATCCAGCCGAGCAGCGCTCCTCGTTCCTATAGCAACCGCCCCAGGTCCACGCGCAGACGGTAGGTGGCAAGGGTCAAAATAGATTCGCAAAGTAGACGCCCTCGATCTGTTCGGTCCGCGCCGCGCCTTTAAGTATCACGTGACTCCTGGCGGGCTGGTCCCCGCCTCTCTCCCCTCCCCAGGCCCCGGCGAGCGCTGGTGTGGACGGGAAGCTCCCGGCCCGGCGGACTAACTGGAGCACGGACGCTGCAGCCGGTTGGGCCGGTGCCCTTTCCCGGTAACTCCTTCCCGGCGTGACGCGCAGAGCCGCGGACGCGGCGGGGCCGGGCAGGCTCAGGGATCTCCCGCCAGTTCCTTCTCTCTCCCAGTCCCTGCTGGGCCCGGAGGAAACGGAGAGCCGACAGGGCCCGCACCTGGGCTCTCGGAGGGCGGCGGGGGAGGGGACTGTCTCCTGGAGGGTTGCGACCTCCTGCGGGAGTTCGAGACCCAAAGCGTGTCTCTGGGAGCCTCTGCCTGGTCCTGGGGATACAGCCCCGAGGGCGCGCAGCCTACCTGTTGGGCCGGTTGTTTCCTGCCCTGAGGCCGGCACCTTGGAGCTCATGACTGTCAGCAAAAGAACTTCACAGCCTCCCGCCACTTGGGCCCTCTAACTGGAAAGGACTGACACGGTTTATAAGGCAGTGATGGTACCGCAGGTTAGAAATAATAGTAATAATACCATTTATTGGCTGTGGACTCTGCTGAGTAAAGCCTTTGCATACATTTAATCCCCTATGACGATCCTTAGAGACAGTATGATTCATTCCCATTTTATGAATGAGGACACTGAGGCTTAGCAAGTTCAGTAACTGGCCCAAGGTCATAAAGTGATAGAGAACGGATCCCAATCTTAGTCTGATTCCAAAATTCATGTCCGTAACCAGTACCTATATCGCCTTCACTGTCTTTGTAGGACAGAATAGGCTGATTTAACAAGGAATAAACTGGTTTGTTTTAGGATTCTATTAAGCATGCATGCTGTTCTAAACATTGGTCATCAGATTAGTCAATTTCGTGAGGATTCTCAGGCAACAAGAGACTTCCACTTGTGAAAATCCACCGCTCTTATACAGCTTTGCAAGCTTTATTAATTTATGAGAAGTCAAGATAAATGTGACCCTTGAAAAAACATCATATGGTATAACAAAGATTATAATCCTGGAGTGTAAATGTCTACAATACCAGCACTACTTTGTTCTTTAACCAGCCAGATTATTTCCAAAACCCATAATGAATTCGATCACTACAATCACCAGAGAAACACAAAACAATTTTAAGACTGCCTGTTCAGGGCCGGCCAGTGACTCACTTGGGAGAGTGTAGTGCTGATAACACCAAGGTCAAGGGTTCGGATCCCATGTAGGGATGGCCGGTTTGCTCACTTGGAGATCGTGGTGCTGACAACAGGAGAGTGTGGTGCTGATAACACCAAGGCCAAAGGTTTGGATCCCATACAGGGATGGCCGCTTAGCTCACTGGGTGAGCGTGGTGCTGACAACACCAAGTCAAGGGTTAAGATCCCCTTACCGGTCATCTTTTAAAAAAAGGAAAAAAAAGACTATGCCTTTTCTTCAGTCTTTGCCATTAATTCTCCTTTACGTAGAAAACTAAATTTTTTCTCACCACTTTTTCTCATCTGAGGTTTCTATTTGTAATGACCATATTGCTAATGATTAAAGAGCAGCTTCTCATTTTCTGGTTTGAATGGATGTGGTGAGAATAATAGAATTTAGGCATACTAAGTTTTAACTGCACAATTTTTTGAGAGTATTTCACTTTCGTATTTGTACTTATTTAACGCCCAGGAACTCCCCAACTATCTCATTTTGTAGTTTAGCACATGGTAAATCTTATGATTTCATGAATTTAACATGTACTCAGTGAAGTATTCTTAAACCATTTAAGTTTAAACTATTATTCTCAGAATAAATGAAATTGTGTATTTGAGATTTAGTCACTCTGATCGTTTTATTTATGTTTTTCCACATTCACTTATTGTTTCTTCATCTCATTCATTTTCAGTCATTGCTAAAGATTTTCTAATTCAAGGGATTCTAGAGAGTTGCTATTAATTCTTATTGCTCATCTTTCATCTATAATAGTTCTTATTTGTGATATTCAAAAGCAAGATTATTGATTTTAAAAGATATGGTCAAACAGCTTGATACTTTTTCTGCAAAATATCTTTTGTTTTGTTTTTCTTCTGTATATCTTATACCTTTACCTAAGAACAAGATCGTCTAGGTTTCTGCCATTGAAACTTAATGCCTCTTCAATCATTTCAGCTCTGGAAAGGAAGAAAAATGGAAGTGAAAAAGTTGAGCATTTCCTGGCAGTTCTTGATAGTTCTGGTTCTGATCCTGCAAATTCTGTCTGCGTTGGATTTTGACCCATACAAAGTCCTAGGGGTCAGCCGAACAGCCAGTCAGGCTGATATTAAAAAGGCTTATAAGAAGCTCGCCCGGGAATGGTAGGTGAAACAAAGAAATAGAAGTTTAATATAACCTAAGCAATCTTAGCAGAGAATGAAACCTAAATTATGATTGGCTTTTATTTGTCTTTTTTTGTGTTCAATAAATATGTCTAAAATATTTTATTTAGGAGAACCAATGCTCGTGTTCTGTAATTTTAGTGATAAGATCCAAAGCCTATGTTTACTATGAAACCCCTAAAAGGGATACTTTGGCTTAAAGAATTGCCTTAGGTATTGTTAACATATTTGATGTTAAAAAGTAAGAAGAAGTTTTAATTCTAAATGTGTAATCAACGGGCCGGCCCATGGCTCACTCAGGAGAGTGCAGTGCTGATAACACCAAGGCCATGGGTTTGGATCCCATATAGGGATGGCCGGTTAGCTCACTGGGTGAGTGTGGTGCTGACAACACCAAGTGAAGGGTTAAGATCCCCTTACCGGTCATCTTTTGAAAAAAAAAATTAAAAAAAATAGAAGTGTAATCAACAATGGATAAGCTACCCTTCCCATGATGTGTTAATCATAACATAACTCTTTATGAGTGTAATTGCTAAAGGAACACACAACACTATACTATCCTATTCTCCAGATTACTAATTTTTAAGCTTTAAGAAAACAGGTTAGATAAGTGTTTTTTGCACTCAGTTAAAAAAGAATATTCAGGAACCAACTATATTATCTTTTTTTTTTTTTTTGGTGGCTGACTGGTACAGGGATTAGAACCCTTGACCTCGTTGTTATAAGGCTGTGCTGTAACCAACTGAACTAACTGACCAGCCTATCTTATAGAAAAATTATAATTATACCTCTAGTTATCAGGATAGCAATCAGCAGGATAGCAAATAAATCTAAAACTCATTTTGGACAAATGACATTGGATTCTTCCACCAATGCTTTGGCCATGCCAGAGAAGCAGAAGTGTTGGGTTAGATAGCTGGAGGGGAGAAAGCAGAAGGGGGAAAAGATGGAAATGGCACAGGTGACTTTAAGCTGCTGAACCAACCCTAAGCAGTGAAAGTTTGGGACAAGTACCATCACTGAGCACCTACTGCATGCTAGCTCCAGGTTCTATGCTCTTTACCTAGTTTAAACCTTATAATTAGCCCATGAAAGAGGATACCATTGTCCCTGTTTTACAGATGAGAAAATTGGGGCTCAGGGTTTATATATCTATATTACCTCTGTGTTCCATAGTTTGACCTTCTGCGCCAACAGTTAGTTTATTGCTTTTTTGTTTTTTAAGCATTTACCCATCTGGGCATAAGTAAGGGTGAGCGGGTTAGCATTTAGGTGGGAAGAAGCTGAATGAGAGCAGGAAGATATGTAGGAGCAAAGCTGCCACCTGCTGATGACTCTGCCTGTCACTGTTATTCTTCAATATGTCTTAGTAATAAACTGCTTGCAATAAAAGTAGAAGGTAGTTTAAAATATAGTGCTCTGAATAAATATTTTAGACCATATTCATATCATGAGCAATTCAGAATTGGGTGCTAAGAAGGCAATCTTTAATTATGCGTGACCTCTTTGCAGGGACCCTTTACACCAAAGTTGCTCTCTACATCATTTATTTATAAGAAGGCAATCTTTAATTATGCGTGACCTCTTTGCAGGGACCCTTTACACCAAAGTTGCTTTCTACATCATTTCTTTTTTTTTTTTTTTTAAAAGATGACCGGTAAGGGGATCTTAACCCTTGACTTGGTGTTGTCAGCACCACGCTCAGCCAGTGAGCTAACCGGCCATCCCTATATGGGATCCGAACCTGGGGCCTTGGTGTTATCAGCACCACACTCTCCCGAGTGAGCCACGGGCCGGCCCTCTACATCATTTCTAACTCTTGCCTCTTTATGTTTAAAACAAAATATATAAATCTGCAGTTAACTCATGAGGTAACAACATTCTTTTGGACAGGGTATAAGCTTTGACAATATTTTAAGAGCAGAGATGATAGCTTGAGTATGTGGGACTGTGAAAAGGTACAGCTTTGACTTTTCTGTCTTCCAGAGCTGAAAAGGGTGTTATGTTATTAATTAAATGAGTCATATGCTTCTCTTCCTTAATTAGATTCTTTCTAGGAGTAATTCATCATGATAGAAATATATAGAGTGTCATCCAGTAAAAGTCTAAAATTTTACTTCACCTTTATATGTCTACTATACTATTATTTTGTGCTGTTTTGGCAGTGGCAGTGTTTTATCACTTGGAATTGTTTAAGTTGCACTACGTAACAGTTTCATATAGTTTCATATACACTGGAAATAGCAGTGTTTCACAGTTTGACTTTGCAGATGAGCTGTAGCAGAGGGAAGGGTTAATTGTTGAATTGGCTCTGTTGCCTTCCTCGGTTATATTTTACTAAGTGTTTCTTAGGCTTCTCAAGAATTTTTCCCTTGCTTAGTGAAACCATTTGAAATTATGTTTTTCTCTAAGGAAAACTATGTTTCTTTCCCAATAATTAAATTTTATCTTAGGTACTTTTCCCTTGTCATCTATATTAGCAAAATGAACAACTCCTCCCACCCTTAGAAAGGCAAATTGGCATAACATGATTCAGTCAACTGAACAGTAAATGAATGTCTAATTCTTTTCTGTATTACTTGTTCTATCTTCATTTTTATTCCTTTAGAGTTAACTAGACAGCCAGTAGATACCAAGTACAATATTTTCTTTACTATGAAATTTAAAGATTACGTATTGTATTACAGTTCATGAAATAATTTCACATTCACTGAAAATAGCTTTGGGTGATACTTTGCTAGGGCTAGGTTTTTCCTTTTCTGAGTGTTTTCCACTTTGTGGTATCTTGCCACAATTAGGAAAATATTCCTTATAAGCTGAAACCGTCTTGTGGTTTCCTCCCTGTTCTTGAGCCTTGACTTCCTCTGTTTTAGGATCTGTGTTTTCTAACCTTGAGACTCTGTCTTTGGTTCAGTCTCCTAAAAATCCCCTTCCTACCCTTTTGCCCTACAGAGTCAGTATGTTAAATCTTCATTTGTATGATTACATAATTTTTATCCACTCAGCCTTTAACCTAAGTTTGAATATTGAAAACACATTTTTTTTTTTTTTTTGTCATCCAGAAACATGCTTTTGAACCACCATCTTGTTTCCTTAAGTCATTCTGTTTTCATTATACCTAGCTGAGATTTTTTTTTCTGCACTAATATTTATATCAAGGATTAAATGGTTAAGAGATGAATGGTGTCTAAATTTAACAGTCAGCTATTTGACGTTTTCTTATTTTTAGAGAAATCAGAATATGTGGTATAATTCATTTAGATTCCACTGGAATAAATTGGTCAAGTTGTAGATTTTATTCCAATGTACTTGGTGATGGGTTTTTCATAGTTATTTGTTTCCCAATGGATTGTTTGCTTTCCAGAACCTTTGCTAGAGAAAATTTCCTAGAGGTTAGCAGAAGTGATTACATAAAAAGTAAACTCTGTCATACAGAGTCTCTCAATAAAAGTGAACATTGAAAAATCAATGTGGGGCCTAGCCCGTGGCGCACTCGGGAGAGTGCAGTGCTGGGAGCACAGCAGTGCTCCCGCCGCTGGTCCGGATCCTATATAGGGATGACCGGTGCGCTCACAGTACTCACTGGCTGAGCGCGGTGTGGCCGGTCTTAAAAAGGACAAAAAAAGGGCCGGCCTGTGGCTCACTCGGGAGAGTGCGGTGCTGATAACACCAAGGCCCCAGGTTCGGATCCCATATAGGGATGGCCGGTTCGCTCGCTGGCTGAGCGTGGTGCTGACAACACCAAGTCAAGGGTTAAGATCCCCTTACCGGTCATCTTTTAAAAAAAATTAAAAAAAAAAAAAAAGAAAAATCAGTGTATACAAAACACTGATTATATCTTATGGGGTTGCAAGACAGTAGCCCTAGCCTCTGCTTTCCAGGATTTTAAAGTCCGCAAAACTGGAATTAGTATAAACACAAAAAAATTACAGAACAATATTTGACAGCAAGATGGGTACAGTTAATTGTCAGCTATATATAATAGAAAATGTTGAAGATTTATATAATAACTTTGCATGAACTGTGGACTTTTCTCACATCTTAGGCATGTGGCCTTGAAATCATTATCCATTCATAGGTAATAGGCAGTCACAGGCAGAATGGGATAACCAGAGTAATAATGAAAACTGAAATGTTCTAATTTGAAAGTCAGCAGGAAGATACTATTTGAAACATGGTTGTTAATAAACAAATTTGTGGTACATCCTAAAAGCTTAAGAAACTCCTGCGTCAATATCATTCTAACATCAGGATGAAATGCTCCCATCCTGGGAAAAGACGTGGGTTCTTATGGATAAATTATTAGCTGTTAGCCAGCTTTAGCAGTGTTTGAGAGCAATGTAAAGATGTGTAGCTATCCTACCTTTCCTCAGTGAAAAGCTGCAGTACTCTCTAATGCTTTGAAAATGTGCCCAGCTGGAGTGCTTTGGGAAGAAATTGCCTGTTTCAAAGTTTCATGTGTTATAGTCATGTGAAGCAACCAACTGATTGCTTCTACCATGTATCTTAAGAAACTATCTTAACAAAATGGCCCTCTATTTGCCTCTGATGTAGTGAATTGTGTGTACGAGTATGTTAAATGACCGTGTATAAAAAATTAAATCTGTTCTCACTGCCTGCTCATTTGTGTTTCAGGCATCCTGACAAAAACAAAGATCCTGGAGCAGAAGACAAGTTCATTCAGATCAGCAAGGCTTACGAGGTACCATGTCAAACTTTGTGATGCATGTTAGCTCTTATAAAATATGTGTTAGGTGATCAGCTTTATAAAGTCCTCTCAGAAAGGGTATGTTCCGGGCCGGCCCATGGCTCACTCGGGAGAGTATGGTGCTGATAACACCAAGGCCACAGGTTCGGATCCCATATAGGGGATGGCCAGTTTGCTCACTGGGTGAGCGTGGTGCTGACAGCACCAAGTCAAGGGTTAGGATCCCCTTACCAGTCATCTTTTTAAAAAAAAAAAAAAGAAAGGGTATGTTCTACATGCCCTTGACTTAGTTTCTAGATGATGGTAGAGAGAACATATTTGGCATTCAGCCACATCCACTGCATTGAAACAAGTGCCTGAAAACCTCAGCACTTAAAAAAAACTGGCCTATTTTAAAGGCTTTAATTAGAATCGTAGAATTACCCTGAATACATGTCTATTGCCTTTTTAGAAACTTACATTAAAGAATTGCACACCAATTCACCTATATTTATTAACGTGACATAAGGTTACAAATACATTTAAAGGCAAGATTTTCAATAATTTTCCAACATGTCACTTTAAGTAGGTTGGTCTGGAATATGCATAAAAGATCAGTCCATGGCTTCCTGATTTGTATAGGGTAATACTCTTCAACAGACAGTGCTTAGCTCATAGAATGGTATAGTATCATAAAACAGATTCTTGAATTTTAGACTTCAAAATTAAAAATAGAGACTTCCGAGCACAGCTTTATAACCCCAAGGATATGGGTTCAGTTTCCTGTACTGGCCAATGGCCAAAAATAACAATAATAATAACAATAGACTTCAAAACTTTTTTTTTTGCAGCTGGCAGGTATAGGGATCTGAACCCGTGACCTTGGAGTTATAAGGCTGTACTCTAATCAACTGAGCTAACCAGCCAACCTAAAATTATTTTTAAATAAAACAGAGTCAACCAACATACAAGGCACTGAACTCAACTCTGTGGCTGGTTTTTGGTGTTCACAGCTTTTCATATCTTGGTTTGAATTATTCCAACTCAAGGTATGACTGAGTCAGTTTTCTTGTGATTAAGCCGTGGTGATCAGCAATATATTAAGTGTTATCTGTTCTACTGAAGTGTTTAGTGTTGTGATAGCTCAAAATCTTCAATGCCAAAATGAGTGTGTATGTTTAAACTGAAATATTTTGGTCTTGAATTTTCTTTAATGTTTCTATTGAGAGAAGAGTTTCTCTGTTATGTTTTACTAAGTGTTTCTTAGACTTCTCAAGAATTTTCAAGAAGAAATTTTCAAGAAATTCTCAAGAACATACTTCTCAGTATGTTGAATGGCTGTGTTTAGAATACCTAATCATGTCATAATTTTTTTTTTTTTTTTTTTTTTTTCCTTTTTGTCTTTTTTCGTGACCGGCAACGGGATCGCAACCCTCGGCGTTGCTCCCGCGCCTCGCTCAGCCAGTGAGCCGCCGGTCTGTATGTGGGATCCAAACCCTTGGTGGGAGCGCCGCTGCGCTCCCATGCGGCACACTGTAGCAGTGTGCCACCGGGCCGGCCCGTCATGTCACAATTTCTTTTTTTTTTTTTTTTGTCTTTTTGTCTTTTTCCGTGTCCGGCAACGGATCGCAACCCTCAGTGTTGCCCCCGTACCGGACCGGGGACCGGCAACGGGATCGCAACCCTCGGCGTTGCTCCCGCGCCTCGCTCAGCCAGTGAGCCGCCGGTCTGTATGTGGGATCCAAACCCTTGGTGGGAGCGCCGCTGCGCTCCCATGCGGCACACTGTAGCAGTGTGCCACCGGGCCGGCCCGTCATGTCACAATTTCTTTTTTTTTTTTTTTTGTCTTTTTGTCTTTTTCCGTGTCCGGCAACGGATCGCAACCCTCAGTGTTGCCCCCGTACCGGACCGGGGACCGGCAACGGGATCGCAACCCTCGGCGTTGCTCCCGCGCCTCGCTCAGCCAGTGAGCCGCCGGTCTGTATGTGGGATCCGAACCCTCGGCGGGAGCGCTGCCGCGCTTCCCAAGCGGCGCACTATCCAGTGCGCCACTGGGCCGGCCCGTCATGTCATAATTTCTACATTAATTTTCTTCCTATGTCTTCTCAGGTGCTTATAGAAAAGTCTTTGGGGGGAGGGGGACCGGCCCGGTGGTGCACTGGATAGTACGCCACTTGGGAAGCGCGGCAGCGCTCCCGCCGAGGGTTCGGATCCCACATACAGACCGGTTCCCGCTCACTGGCTGAGCGAGGCGCGGGAGCAACGCTGAGGGTTGCGATCCCGTTGCCGGTCCCCAGTCCGGTACGGGGGCAACACTGAGGGTTGCGATCCGTTGCCGGACACGGAAAAAGACAAAAGACAAAAAAAAAAGAAAAGTCTTTGGGGTGAACCTTTGTTGTTGTTGTTGTTTAGATTTCTTGTTTTTTTCTTTCTTTATAGGTTCTTTCCAACGAAGAAAAGAGATCAAATTATGATCAGTATGGAGATGCTGGAGAGAACCAGGGCTACCAAAAGCAGCAGCAGCAGCGAGGGTATCGCTTTCGCCATTTCCATGATAATTTTTATTTTGATGAATCTTTTTTTCACTTCCCTTTCAATTCTGAGCGGCGGGACTCAATTGATGAAAAGTACTTCCTGCACTTTTCACATTATGTGAATGAAGTGGTTCCAGACAGCTTCAAGAAACCCTACCTCATTAAGATCACCTCAGATTGGTGCTTTAGCTGTATCCATATCGAGCCTGTTTGGAAAGAGGTGGTTCAAGAACTGGAAGGATTGGGTAAGATAATTTTATTCATTGGAAGGCATTTCTGTAGGAGAAGAACAATATAGGATCTCTTTCGAGTTTTATGAGATATTGGGGAAAAGAAGCAGTTAATGTGATTTCTCTTCACAAGTTCATGGTAATTGGTGTTTTCCAGGGTCACATTTTCCGGGAAGGGAAATGCATAAGCCACTTTCATTTTGCATTGCTAATTTGAAGTTTTATATATATGGTCTGCTAACATCTAGTGGGGGGCCTAATACATAGGAGAAATCTAAAAATTATCGGTTCAACATAGCAGCCCTCAAGCGTCAATTTTAATGCTAGTGGGGTTTGCAGATAATATGGTATTTGTGATTTCACTCTGTATTAGTTTGCTTGGGCTGCCATAACAAAATACCACAGACTGGGTGCTTAAACAACAGAAGTTTATTTTCTCACAGTTCTGAAGGCTAGAAGTCCAAGGTCAAGGTGTCAGTAGATTTTGTTTCTTCTGAGTCCCCTCTTCCTGGCTTGCAGATGGCTGCTGCGTACTGCGTGTTCAAGTGGTCATGTCTGTGCATGCACAAATCTGGTGTCTCTTTCTGTATCCTTACCTCTTATAAGAACACCAGTCATTTTGGATTAGGGCTCACTCTAGCGACCCCATTTTAATTTAATTACTTTATGGTTGGGGGGAGGTCACCTGGCCCGTAGAGGGATCCAGACCCTTGACTTTGGTGTTATAAGGTATAAGGCTATGCTCTAGTCTACTGAGATAATTGGCCAGCCCCTAATTAATTCTTTAAGGCCCTGTCTCAGCTTGAGCTGCCACAACAAAATACCATAGGCTGGGTGGCTTAAACAACAGAAATCTATTTCTCACAGTTCTGGAGGCTGGAAGTCTAAGATCAAGGTGCCACCATTGTTGAGTTCTTATGAGGGCTCTCTTCCTGGCTTTCAGGCGGCTGTCTTGCTATGTCCTCTCATGTCTCATGTCTCTTCTTATAAGGTTGCTAATCCTATCATGTGAGTGTTCTACTCATGATCTAATTACCTCCTAAAGGTGCCATCTCCAAATACCATCACATTGGAGGTTAGGACTTCAACATTTGAATTGGGGGGGGGGACACATTTCAGCCCATAACACTTTGTAACAGCCATGGGATACGTGCCATCTCCAAATACCATCACATTGGAGGTTAGGACTTCAACATTTGAATTGGGGGGGGGACACATTTCAGCCCATAACACTTTGTAACAGCCATGGGATATCACTGTCAATCGCAGATTAGCCTTTCCTTCATCCATATTTACCACTTATGACCAGGAAAATTTTAGTGATCCAGGGAAGATATTTATATAGTAAATCCTAAAATTTGGAATTACTGCATTGAATGTGTGTGTGTGTGTGTGTGTGTGTGTTTTATGGGCATTAGCAGACCTATTCTTGAGTAACTAAAAAGGGACAAACAACTCTGAAAGCTAGAATCCCAAGATTAAGGTGTCAGTAGGTTTTGTTTCTTCTTAGCAGAGAAGGCATGGATCTCTCTGGAGAGAGCATAATACTAGAAATCATTGGTTCATTTATTCTAAAATAGAAATTTTCAAGCTGGTGTTTGGAAGCACTAAGATACTCAGATTTGGCAAAGTGCTTTCCTGGGACTGAATACAGTTGTTCTAGGAAAAAGATGAGGAAGTTGGTTTAGTGCAATATCTGACTTACAGTAGGCAGTCAGTAGGTCTTTGCTGTGTTGGTGCATAATGAATGAATGAGAAGTTGCAATCAGGTAGAAGCCACTGGATTGAATAGCTTCTTTGTCACAAAGTATATTTTCATTTTATGCCATGCTGGGTAGTATACTGAAAACTATTTTATCTAGGGGCCAACATTAAGGCCCAACAGCAGAGCATGAACACTAAACCATTGCAGGATTTAGGGTGCTTATACATTTACACCAAAGTCAGATCAGGACCAAAATTATATTTTAAACATGCCAGGCAAACATGTATAGCACAGTGGTTACAACCATAGTCTTTGGCATCAGGTAGACCAGTGTTCAAATCTGAGCTCTGTCATTTACTGTCTTTGTGTCCTTTGGACAAATTACTTAACTCAGGTTTTTTCATCTCTGAAATGGGGGTAATAATGTCAAACAGTATTGTTAAGAAGATTAAATGAAAAAAATTTATGCTAAGTGCCTGATGCATATGAAGCACTTAAATGAACCTTAGAAAATTTCTGATTAACTGGGTTTCTGGTTTACCAAAGTAAATTTTTTAAAAGTACGTATTTTATAAGCCCCTTTTGAAAATCTTTCTTAAATGTGTTAGTCTACTTTCTTCAACTCACTGACCACAAAGCACTGACTCTTGACTTATTTTGAGCTGAGCATTGAAAGGTGATTAGAAGTTAGCGGGGCGGGAAACTGAGGAATAACATTACAGACAGGGGAAGCAGTGCAGGCAGAGAAACAAAGAGCGTCCACAGATCGGCCAGCAGCAGTGTGACTGGGTGTGGGTGAGAGAAGAGGAAGCAGGAAGAGCTTGCCAGAGCCAGCTAGGAAGGAGCCTAAAAGGCCAGGCTAAGGGAGCTGGACTTTATGTTATAGTATGGGATAAGGCCAAGAAAAGTTTTGCATAGAGGAGTGATCTGGTCAGATATAAACAGTAGAAAGCTGGCTGGTAAAGTTATATGAGGGATGGATTGAAGAAGGTAAGAGGCAAGGAGGTTACCAGCCTTGGTAATAGAGCAATTATTGTCCTGAACAAGGGCAGCAGGAATTAGAGGGAGATGGGCAAGTATAGGCTGTTTCAGGGGTAGGATCATGGAGGCCTAGGGGGACCTGGCTCCTGGAACCATCTGAATGTGGGAAATGAGGAAAAGATGATAGAAAGGGTCAAGATCGATTCTGCATTTTGATTTGAGCCACTGGGTGGGCAGGGAATACAGTAGAGAGAAATGGTTTGAAATAAAAACTAGGGTTTGGACATTCAATGTCAAATAATACAGATGTAATAATAATAATAGCTTATATTTATTGAGAGTTTATCATATGTCCAGTACCATTATAAGTACCAACTCATATTAAAGAATAACCCTGTGAGGCAGGTGCTATTGCCATCCCTCTTTTACAGACACTTAGCTCACTTTTGGTACTTGGACCAGGGTCATAGTTAGTATTTGGCAGTGCTGGGACTTGAACCGAGGTAGTCTGTCTCTACAGTCCGTGCATTGAACCGTGGTGCTGTACTGCTTTTCAGTGTCCTTAAATTGATGATTGAAGATCTTGCCATTCTATTGGGTTGTTGTGCTGTATAATTCTAGTAAGTCAGCACTCAAAATTACAAGAGTGGAAGAAGCTGGAATTGCATTCATAGAACTAATACTTATAGAACTAATACTTACTCAGTATTTTATCCATTCCCTACCCCACTCCCCAGATCTCCTGGAAGATGACCTGTGATGAAATGTATTAAATTAGTTTGGTTTATACGCCACTTTCCACTTTGGTGATGAAATGTATTAAATTAGTTTGGTTTATACGCCACTTTGAACATTCAGATTGACTGAAGATTCCTGACAACTGAGTTCTACTTGGTTACAGTTTGGTGACATTGAGATGAGATCAGGACAGTATCCAAGGTCATTTCCTGTCCAGTTGAGGTATCACCATGCTTTAAGATAGTTTCTGCAGAAAATGTTTCTATTTTGAATTAACAGAAAGAGCAGACAGTCTCAAAGATTAGCTGAGTGGTCTGGGGAAGCTTGAACATTTCAGAATAACATAAAAGGTCTGAATTGCAGTATATGAGAGAAATAGAACAGTTCTACCCAGAGGAGAAATGTTGCAGCTATTTAGGTGAAATCTACAGTCATTCAATCTGATAATAACTAGTGTGCAAAAAGCATCCAACATTTATAGGCAACTGTGCTGTGGAGGAAGGCCAGAAATAGTACTGTCCCTGACCTTGAGGAGCACACCATTCAGAAATGTTGCAGCTATTTAGGTGAAATCTACAGTCATTCAATCTGATAATAACTAGTGTGCGAAAAGCATCCAACATTTATAGGCAACTGTGCTGTGGAGGAAGGCCAGAAATAGTACTGTCCCTGACCTTGAGGAGCACACCATTTAGTTGAAGAGAAAATATGTACCCAGATATCTAACACCAACCTCATACTTGCAAGTGCAGAATAATGAAGTGCTGATGGAGTAAGCAGAGGGTGACAAGGAATTCATTCCATCTTCTCATTTAAAACTTTTTTCTTGATCAACTCTCATGTGTCAGTTACTGTATTAGGCACTAACAGATCTATAATAATAGTTTTTTTGAGCATCTCAGTTGTCTTGCATTGTGCTCAGTGCTTTGTACAGATCATCTTTATCCTCAGAGCAACCCAGTGAGGGGGAGACTATTATTACCCCTACTTTACAGATGAGGAAACTGAGGCATAGGAAGATTAAGGAACTAATTCAAGGTCACACTACTCATAAGCAGCAGTGCTGGGCTATGGACCCAGGAGTCTAACACTCTTAGACACTGCACTGCTTCAGAAATAACTAAATTCTGGTCCTCATGACCAGGAAATTCAAATAAGAGATACACCTGACTCATCATAGCACACTCAGTGCGTGCTGGGAGGTGTACACAGCCACCAGGGTGTCAAGGAGGTTGCACGTCTTGAAATCAAATATCATTTTAGGGAAACCGAATTTGGATGACCATGCAGTGATTATTTGCCATGACTTCTTATTTTAAAAGAAAGAATTATTCCTCTTTCAAGGGTTTGCTAATTACGTAGCAATCTCATACTGTCTAAGAATAGGGTCTGCCTAAATATTGGCAAAAATATGTATTTTTTCCTGCTTTAGCTGTCTTATTGATCTTGTTTTATTTCACATCCTTTTGCATCTTTGTGGCTTGTTTATTGGCGGGTTTCTATTTAGCCAAATTTGACGGTAGTGTGTTCTTCCAGTTGGCTCTATGCCATCCCCTAAGGCATATTCAAAGGTGGAGAGAAAATAAATGTG